TATCTTAATATGTGAAATCTGCTTATGTTCGTGTTTATCATTATTTCCGTTATTAATATGATTATTAGTTCCCTGACACATTAGATATCCTTTTTGTATCTTCTTATCCTTCTAAACATATTTAACTCCAGATTGTCCTTTAAAATCAATTTTGACTTTCATAGCATCAATCTTAATTATTATTGCACAAATATTTATACTAATATCCGGTTTCACTCTGTATACTACTACATAAATCTAGATGTATTCATCCGAGTGCTTTAACGGATTTTTATTTTATTTTTGCAATTGCTGGTTTCCTTCTGAGGTTGATATTTATTACACAATTATTATTCTTATCATGGATCAAAACTTTTCACTAGGTGTTCACTTCTTTTCACTCCATTCTTTCCCTCTAAATAAATATTATTCTTAAGATTACGAAGTTTGTAATTAAAACAATAACTTGTGTTACACTTAAATTCTCAGACCCGTCTTATCTTCACTATGCATATATGACTCGTACATATTGATATTTTATTATCCTTTTTATTTAATTGTAACTTTCGTAGCATCACTCTAAACTATAACTGCACAAACACTTATTCTAGCGTCATATCTTACTGCAATTATAAGTTATTTTTTCTTAATTATTTTTTGTTACTAATTTAACGATACACACAGTAGTCTATTCTTGTTCTGTGTTCGTAAACACGCCTATTAGAATGTTTGCGTATTTCACGTCTCCTTTATTTCTATTCCCTTATTTTCTGCATTTCCTTCTTTAGACTCAATTCAATATTGTCAATTACACAGACTCGACTTATTATTATTAATATTCTACTATTATTGCTCAAAATTTTTTTAAAATGGCAAGTAGAATGCTGACATTATTGAAAATTGTGTATTATTGCATTTTTTGAAGAAACCCGAAGTGGTTTCTTCACAACACTTATGTACCCATAAGATGTTTGTGAATAATAATAATAATAAAACTGTACCCTGGGGCACTCCACTTAGCACAGTTCCCCAGCTAGATAACTTTGAGTTCACCCGAACTCTTTGTTGACGCCCAACTAAGAAGTCTTTTATCCACATCAATAAATTGCCTCCAATCTAACATTTCTTAACTTATATAACAGCCGGTTGTGCGGAACTTTGTCAAAAGCTTTACTGAAATCAATGAAGGCGACGTCTACAGGTAGCTTTTGGTCCTTAAGAGCGCACCAGCTTTCACGAGCCACTAATAAGTTAGTGAGACAAGAATAACCTATTCTGAAGCCGTGCTGCTTCTCCGAGAGGATCCGGTTTTTATCGAGATACTTAAACAGCTCCTTCCGAATAATCTTTTCTAAGATTTTAACAACCACACTAGTTAGGCTAACGGGGCGGTAGTTCTCAGGTTTGTGTTTCGTACCTGTTTTGAAGACAGGACTTACTATGGCGTTTTTCCAATCTTTCGGTAAGCGACCCTGCGTAACGGATAGGTTAAAGCATGTACTTAAAGGGTTCGCAACGAAGTTAGATAATTCCTTCAGTAGCCTAGGATGTAATTCATCGGGCCCCGTGGATTTACCTATGTCAAGCTTATTTAGCAGACCAAAGACATCGAGTTCTTTAATGGTCACGCTATCCAGTGTATGTATGGGGGGATCTGTATACGCTGACGAGAAGGGCGCTTCTATGGTATATACGTTGCTAAAGTAGTTCGAGAACACTTGAGCCTTACCAAAGTCGTCCTCCACTAATGATGAAGCAGTACTGTCTCCCCATAGAGCAGGAATATTTCCTTTTCTCCTTGTCCTTTGGTTTATATAGGAATACAAGCGTTTAGGACATTCTATGGATTCCTTAACAAGTTTTTCTTCGTACAATTTTCTAGACTTACGGAGGGTCGAGGCACAAGTATTCCGAGCCTTTCGATACTGAGATTTTGACTCATCAGTCCCCAGTAACCTAAATCTATCCCACATTTTCCTTTTCTTACGGAGAAGGATACGGACCTCCCTACTGAACCATGGTGGTGAGTTTTTCGGCCCCTTTGGTATAGTCCAAGGGATGTGAGGTGTGGTAACTTTTAAGTATGAATTTCGAAATGCGTCCCAGGCCGTTTCAATGGAGGACTCTGGGTCTATTGTCCAATCTATTAACGATGCTGAGTGCATGATGTCTGGTATGTTTGCTTTCCAGACGTTGGGTCTGGACTGGACTGACGCGTCCTCATGACTGGCAGTTATATGGAAGTCGAAAGTTAAAACTGCGTGGTCACTTTTACCTAAGGGTGGCATATATGGAGGTTCGCAACATCATCCTCATAGTGAGTCAGTATAAGATCTAATAAGGATGATTCAGTGTCCGGATCGTACCTTGTCGCTTCTTTCACATGTTGCACTAGAGCACATGTGATAACCGCATCAACTAGTTCCTGCTCGAAAGAATTCTCCGACGATTAGTTCGCAGATTTTCCCAGTCTACCATAGGTGCATTAAAGTCCCCTAGGATTAGACATCGACCACTTTGGGACCAAGTATTGAGACTGCTTAACAGGATCTCATTTGCCTCACAGCTTGGACTGCGATAGACCAAACCAATCAGCAGCTCTTGTCCCTTGCATTTTAAGCGAAGACTAACTAATTCACACGTCCCACTCTCATGGGATACACTATCGATAATGGCAAATGGGATAGCATTCCTAATGAATAGAGCTACTCCCCCTCCTTTGCGCTTTTGTGTTCTGTCGGCCCTTACTAACGTAAAACCCTCGAAATCAAGTTCCATACTATCTATAGCCTGTGTCAGCCAGGTTTCTGTTACTGCGATTATATCTGGCTTTGTAGAGTCAATCTGTACACCTAGTTCCGATCGCTTATTAAGTAAGCTTCGTGCATTGGTGTAACAGATCCGAAGCCTGTTTAAGTGCCTTCGTGCTTCACCCAGAGTGGCTTCGGCATCATTCTCTGTCGAAGTCTTACAACCCGAAAATTTACAATTTTCAGGTCCTTTTCGCCAGCGTCTAACCTATGTTGTAGTTCTTTCTCGGCTTCCCGTCTTTTAACACGGTCTGCCAACGGTAGGTCCTTTCGGATAAAGACTCCTGAACCCTTTAATTTGTGTCCATTTTGTAAAATTAGGTCACGTTCGTTCGAAGAGCCGAATACTACTTTAAGCAGTCTGGAATGATTTGGTTTCGAGTCCGCTAGACTCCCTAGTCTGTACACCTTTAGCAAGGTGACCCCGGTCATATTTTGAGGCATGAGTTGATTAAGCAGCTGTTTATTCAGTACGATGTCATGCTGAAAACGAGCTTTTGATTCAGAGCTCTCGCTCTTCTTAATTCTATGAAAAATAACTGATCTGTCAGCTTTCTATTTTTCGACTACTTTTACGGGGGCAGGAGAAGCAACAACGGTTGTATCAAACCTACTGTTGGATTCTGGAGGGTTGTCGACGAACTGGGAGGTCAGGTTATGTTTCCCGCTAGAAACCGATCGTGACTTGCGATTGCGGCTTCTGGGCGTTTCCTGTTGGATGCCATTTGGAAGACGGGGAACAGAAGAACCTTCTTTTCTTGAGTTTTTGTTTAGGACGGACCTCTTTGGAGACTATGTTTTTTCTTCTTTGATCGGTGTGAGTCACCTATTTTCCAACTCACCTGAGTTTGCTTCATATAAATTTGAGTGTCGACAGATCGAGTGCTTTTTGACGTGTTCCGACTACGCTTGCTAAAACACTTTTTTGCAGCATCAACCAGGGAGATGGCCTCGGTTAACAGGCTGTTTGCATCCGAACAGCACTGTTGACAAAGTCATACGCAAGCCTTCTTAATGAACCGTTTGAAAGCCGCAGGCGTTAAGTTCGTGCAAACTTCGTGGTACCAGCTTTTGCACTCGTCGCACTGCACGCCGCTTTCAACGGGATAACGACAACCTGGACGTTGGCAACTGCTTTTTTTTTACACTGTCCGGTCATTTAAAAGGAGTTCTTTTAAAAAAGGAACGAGATGCGATGATACTCAGAAACAAAAAAATAATCAATGACCAAAAAGTGAAGAACTGTAGATTGTTAGGACCAAAAGTACTAACAGATACAATTGAATATGAGGTACTCAAGAGTACCAACGACAAAACTAATTGAGAGAACGGTAAAAACGGTACTCTAGTCGAATATTTTAACTGACATGAATTCAATTAAAGTGACAACAGTAGTCTTGATACGTAATAAACGATCAAAACAATGAAATTTACCCAGCGAGGAAAAATACCACTGTCAACAGACTTAGAAAGGATCCCATATCACTGTAGCAAATTCTGAACTGCTCAGGTATTGTAGGATCATCAGCTAGTGGATTGGTCATGTATAATTCACCTAAGATTATCCAACAAGTCAGGAAAGAGCACGGGATTTCTAAACGCTATCCAACTGCTAAACATAAAGGATCCCAACCTCAACATGCCTGAAAACCTGGGAAAACGATCGGGTCTCGCAGTGATTTTTTCATAATCACGAACTTGAGAGACAACTCCGAACTTCCTCCTAGTCTGCATGAAAAAATGACAGGATTCCCTGGAAAGAGTCAAACAGAAAGTTTAAACTTCTCAAAACTGAGCCATCGCTTATCCACTAGAGTATAAGCGTCTTGAAGGTGGTCTTCCAATGACTGACAGCATCCTAAATACTTCTGGACATCCCCTTAAATACCTACTTCATCACAAACCTTAGGGGTCACTCTCAGAAACTGGAGACACAACATAGGAGAACGAACCATTCTGACCTAGGGGTATTGGTGATCAACTGTGAATAGATATGGGAGCATGTTGAACGAAATCTTCCATCTCATCCAGAATCATTCGAATCATTTGAGCTCTCCGCAGAAATATTGCACACTCAAATTTGAATGCTGATTCTGAGGAATATATTAAGCACCAGTTCTTTATGCAAAGGCGTAAAAAGCTATTTCACTCAATGATTCTTTGAAAAGCTTGTTTTCATGCTGTTTAGGAAAACACAAACGATATGAATATCTGAAGGTCGCTTATGCCTTGAGATGATCGGTGGTGTGCCCGATAGTTTAAGGTTGGTAGTTCATGATCTCATCACAAAAATCCTTACTACAAACCGATGTGAATCATACTCATCTGGTAAGTAGTTACGAAACTTCTCTCTGAGTTTTCAATTTCAGCAGATTCCGTGAAGCAGTTTTATTCATTTGGTGAGAATTTGTTCACGTGGTAAGTTTCCCATATTTCCCCGCAGTTTGTGTTAGTTCTTCCAAGCCAGCATCATTATCAGAAGTAGAGGCTCAGCTGTTTTCGATTCGTAAGTACTAAGGATCAATTCATTTCGTTTTAGTGCAAATAGATGGAAGAGATATTGATTCAGTTAAACTCAAACGCCTGCTGAGAATCTTACATAACTTGGTAAATTTTCAGCATTTTTATTTTTTCAGCCTTCTGTCAGACGAAAGGCAGAAATTTTGGAGTTTTTCTACCAGCTTTCTAGCCACAATTATTATCGAGTATGTTATAGTCTTGGTAACCTCGATTTTTAAGCGAAAGGCTGATATCCCATCTGTTTCTGAAAGCTTATTTCGAAATCCGAACTCTTTCAATAATGGATCAAGTGGTTTCGTGTCTGATTTGTGAGTCGAATTTATTCCCAATTCATTTTGTACCCAGCAATTAGCAATGTGCTATTTTGAGTTATTTTAATATTCGGAATTATATTACCTTACTGACCCACCTACAATATCTTAACTTACAAGTGTGATATTGCAGCATTTGGAAACCACTCATATTTTCAACCACTTGAGTAATAGATAGTTGCAGCACAACAGTTTCTAGGTAATAGTGATAACTTATGGTACTGTTTTGGTGTTAAGCATCTTGCATACATATCATTAGATGATTGTTCGTAGCAGCTGTCTCACAGTCAAGTTTAAAGATTATATACTGAAGGGGCATTTTAATGATCAAGTATTTATTTGTTTATTTGTACACATACATTAGTTCGACGGACCAAAATATATATGTGTCTTAAAATAACGATGAGGTTGTGAAGATATAGAGAAAGGAAGGTGGGTATAATAAAAAAGGAATAGAGATGAATAGAAATTAGTGCATGGGCGAAATATTAATAACAATAAAAAAACGGTTCAATTAAACCAGATTAAAACATTTTATAGTGTTAATTAATACCAGTCAGTAGTTTATTTAGTTGTTAAACTGAAGCTTGTTTGCATTTAGTTGGTTTTTTTCTTTCCATACTGCTTACCACAAATGATTGGAATTTCGAGAAATGTCATGAGATCGTTAGCTATTTTATCATCTTATTGTAAAGGCCAATTATCCCATTTTTTCGAACGTCTAATAAAGTTATTGACCTGTAGTTTTATTTATATCATAACTTAAAACAGTGCATATTAACATCCTTCAGTGTGTAGTGAACTCTTTCATTTAAGTATTTCTTGCTACTTGTTCGATTTTAATGAAAAATGCTTTGGATGTTTCATTGTTGCTTGTACTTAATTATTAGCAATATTAGTGACGTAAAGTGATCCACTTACTCAGTACAAGGTTTTTCACTTCGTTTTAAACCTCACTATATGTTTTAAGGGTAGCGATTCATTTACTCAGACCGGAGTAGGTAAAGTGAGTTCTTGGTGTTCTATCTATTAGTTAAAAACTGAATTTTCTCCTGCCAGGCCATAGCTTCATCTTGATTAAATGGTCATAAATAAGATTCCATAAATGCAAAAAATATGTGGCTCACGACATCTTATGTCAATCAATTGTTTGCACACACACTAAGGTTGAGCTCCTCAATGAATTAGTTCGGTTAAATATTTTGCAGTGTTGAACTCTGCCATGAAGAGGGTTAAAATTTTTTGGGTAAGATTATTCGTGCATAGTTTCGTCCATTCACTGCTTGTGCTCGAAATGGTAACTCATGTCTAAGTATGGTGGGGGATGTTTCACGGAAAACAAATTAGAACACACCGCTCATCAGTGAAATCTGAGCAACGTAGCTTTTATTTATTTATTTATTTGAACACGTAAACATTGGTATAAGGTGGCACCAAATAGATATGCGCCACGTAAATCGTTCGATTTATGTGAGGGTTATGATACTGCCCAGGTGCCCGAACCGAAGCAGGTGGTTTTCTTAGGGGGCCACACCCCGAGCATTTGACCTAAAGGTCTGACCCACAAGGCTGTGGAGAATCGTGAGGAGATGCAGTCCCGTGGTTGCCAGTGACCAGCGATTGGTTCATACGCCATTTGTTCCCTCAGGATATTGGAGCCCATGTGCACCATTGGTTTGGAATCCGGTTAAAGCGCCAGACATTCGCTTTTCGTCCTCTCATTTTCGTAAACAACACCCGTGGTACGAGAAGGCAGTGAGTAGGACTTCCCTGGCAGTCAGTCAGTCAGTAACAACGTAGAACCTCGTACGTACGTACATCAGTTCGAGTTGCCACACCACATTAGCACAGAGATGCAGTGGTTGATTCAAATCCCGTAGTGGTAGATGTAATAAGAGTATAAGTAGTAATCAGGAAAATTAGTGTTTGGAGATGTTATTTAAAGAGTATAATACAGTGAAATAAATTTAGGAAGAGAGAAAAAAAGAGACAAGGAGGAATAAGGAGATCAAAATTTGGGAGAACACAAAGAGTGGATGCACTTGCGCCATTGCAAACGATTTTGAGCCATGTCATTCAGGGTCTCTAACCATCGGTTGCTATCATCTCGCGGTCCCCAACCAGGTAGTCTACACCTACCAACATGACTCAGTCCACTTGTCAGTGACTTCATGGACTTATGCCATGTTTTGGTCTGGCCGTCCCTAGCTTTCTTCCAACCTACTCCTATACCACTGGACATCGCACGCCGAGGCAGTCGGTAGTTGGGCATACGTAACAAGTGTCCCAGCCATCTCAACTGATGAAGTTTCACTGCGTCATCAATTGATTTTCCATCCTTACCTAGTACCCGTTTCCTAACAACCGTGTTACTTACTCGATAGTCCCAGGATATACGAGCAATATTTCGAAGACACCTATGATCAAATACTAGTAACCTACGAATATCCTCTACTCTTACCGGCCATATCTTCCCTGGCAGAGGCTGTATACGCGTGGCCGTGTGAGAGCATTTCGAGAGGGAGGGTGGGCGGGCGGTCCTACTCCATTCTTGGCCATACCAGGGCATTTAGGGGCGCAATGTAGCTAGAGTTTGAGCATTTTTGAAATCCCCTTTTTGACACACTTTTGCGAATATAGAGAACATTGTCTTTACTGCCCATGGAATTTCGTACTGCCAGCTGCCATTTCATATTTTCTGTTGATTCATCTCCGTGATAGATTGATTATAAATGCCGTTCTATCTGTTAGGATAGTTTACATTTTTGAATACACATTCTCCGTTATTTTGAGGTGTAAATTTTAGTTTGATATAAAACATTTAAAAGCTTAAAAATGTACGGAGTAAATTTAAAATGGGTCCTTTGTACTTTAGAATATCTCACTCTTCCGTCCAACCGAAATCCAAACCCCTACTCCAACTGTGAGGTCTACCATAAGATCTGGCGATTCATCGAATTCAGCAACAGACCATTTAGTTAATTTATGGGGGCCTTCAGCTAGTGATTCATATAAACCTCTTTCAAACAGTAATCTTAATCGTCGTTTCCTTAGTCAGCGTATCAAGAATTCATCACTACCCAAAGGTAAGCTATTTATTTGATGTCATTTTTCATAATCTTATTCCCCAGAGTTACTTTTTTACACACGGTACTAGAAATAAGAATTTTCTATGGTTCAGTTTTAACATATTACACTAAATATTGTTTCTAGGCTAATAGTAATTACTAATATGAAGTTCGTACTCTACTAACGTGTTACGTTATGTCAAATATTCTAGTCACTTGCTACTTCTGTTCTCGTACGTCAGAAAATTTACTACTCCTTATATCTACACTAAACTCAAACACATTTAGCATATCTGTTCTAGTTTTGTTACTATTGTCTTAGAAATATGTCGGAAATATGAGTAAAGTAATACTATTGTTTGGTCTACGCGACTGTGAATAATACTTTCGGGACACCTTAGTAAATTTCATTGTCAAGAGTTCCGTTCACTTAGTTTTCTCCCATTTGTAAACAGAGTGGTTAGTCGGTGTGGTAAACTCACTGATTTTTTTTATCATACCTCGTGGATCTGTTCTTGTGTACAAAGTCAATGTTTTGACTAGCCATCAACTCAGAAGATTATTGATAGATTGGTCGGTTGAACTTATGGAATTTAACTGTCAATTAATTCACAATCTCAATGCAATCACCCAGTCCTATGTGTTTAATAATAGTACTCCATCACATCTATTTAGCCGGACTTTGTCTTAATATAAATTAGGATTGAATATTTAGTGAAATAAATCCGGTTAAGGACCATGTATTGTAGTTCAATGGATGCAGTGTTAAACATACAACTCAGATTATTGGTTTACATTTGGAAGCTTAGTCTTTCTTTTGTTATCGGTCAAAAAATTTATGAGGATTGGTATTTAGAAAATATTTCACATCATAGACTGGGTCACTGAAAGCCAAAGGAATACTATACAGTCGTTTTATTCTTTCACAAGACTATCCTGTTTAATGTTCATTGCAATCATTAAAACTGGCTGCAAATATTAAATTTGACTTTTTCAAAGAAGAACCTTGTAGTGAGTTATGCTGTTGGTTGTTTGTAGGATGGATTAAAATTATCTGGCGATTCATAACTTTCAGTTGTCATTGAATAATGGTTTCTGATTAGAGTTATGAAAGTGACCTAATGATTAAATTCTTAGGCTCCCAACCAGTTGATTGGAGGTTCTAAACTTCGCTTTAGTTTAGAGTAACGTCTATCCGTTGTCGTTGATGACACCAATATCGCTCATTGACTGGAGTTAAAAATGTAAACCATTAGTTGTTAACTCAGTAGTCTGAAGGTCAAGCTCTCTTCGTGGGATATGGAGGTTCTGGTTTGCATATCTGAAGGTGCCGCAGATATCCGTTTCTGAAGTTCTATACTAAGGAGAACCAGCTTTCTAGCACTTTCTATTTTCTAAAGTTTGTCTAACTAAAGTTAGTTCTTAACTTGGACTATAGATCCAATACTTTCCACAAATCTATGTTCGATCAGTTTTAGGCTTTTTATTATCTGAACTAGGTGTTTTTCTCTACCTTTTTAAGGGTTCTCAATTATAACTGTTTTTCGGCTGTTTCAAGGCTAATGATACCACTCAGTTACCCAAACCGGAGTAGGTGAAGCGGGATTCGAACCCGGGATATAGTGGTTGAAAGTCGAACTCTTTGACATCTGAGACGTTCGATAGAGAATATTTTTCGCTCTGTCGGTTAAACTGAACAAGTATATATATATATATATATATATATATATATATATATATATATATATATCATCAGATTTGTTAGCATTTTCACCGCGACTCAAACCTAAAATTGATTGCTTTCGAACGTCACAGGATTACTTAAACTATGAAATTTTGTTTTCACAAAAGTCTCAGCAACTGAAATTAAATTAATTTGACGTTTCATCGAACAGTGGAGTTGCAGCCTCATTTCAAAAAAATAATTGAAATACGAATTCTCAAGGATAGTTAAGGCCAAAAATAAATATCTACTGAACAACTGTCCAGTCACGTTCGAATTTGCTGACTGTAACCAGAGTATAGTATTCATATTTTTGACTTACGAGCTTTCAAATCTATTAGAAATATATAATTCATGTAATAGTTATTTCAGTTACTGCATATTTTACTTTTGATACTCATTTAGTTAAGGAAGAATCTCAGAATGAACTTCTAATTAACTATTTTTCTTTGGCGTTTCAGCTGCCAGTCGAACAACGGTTTCGGAATCTGATCTCCTACGTGAACTAGTATTTGTACTAAATGGTGTTGGAGGGAATCTAATTAAATTTAATCATATACAGGATTCCTTCAGAGTATGTTTAATGTATTTTTGTCATAAAAAAGTTTCATCCTTTCTTGGAAAATATGTTTATATATTAAGACGCGACTAATTCAACTTTGGAATTGTATAGTGAGAATTTCTGAATTTCTACTAATTTTTACGTGGAATAACTACTTCGTTAAAGCTATACAATACTTATATTTTCATTAATATTTATTGATGCCTAATCAGATGTGACTATCATCACCTCAGCCCATGATTTCTTGTCGAATATCTCCAACCATTTAACATTAGATCACAGTTCATGTGATGTTAAGTCACTTAGACCAGTAACGACGTTGCGACTTGATTAACCGAGTCCAATTAACGTTAAATAAGTATGCAAACATAACATTGGGCACTACTAAACAGCTAGTTAACTGTATGCACTAAAATGTTGCTTAGGTTATCTATCTGATCCATTCTTAGACAAACCTTCTTTTTCTTTTGGCTTTTCTTATGTTTGTCCACTAAACAGATTGTTGGACAAGTATTCTTTCATTTATTACCCGCTGTATAAGTGAATAAGTAGATTCTTTTTTGTATTGTTTCGCTACCGACTTCCTTTTTTCTGTTGTTTGTGACATGGGCTCAGTACTTGATTCTCTCTTCCTAATATACAAAAAGGCCACTCAGGGTAATTGTAGTACCCTGATTTTAAAGTAAGTTGTGCACACGTCCTCCAGAATTCCAGGAGGATGAGTAGCATACAAACCTACTCTGGTCATTGGCTACCTTGGGATTATATCCCTTGATGTTAGTGTATCGTCTCCTAAATTAGATGTTTAATTCAAAGGTCCAGAGGAGTCTATGAATGTATTCACCATCTCTTTGCTTCAAATTCTTATTTAAATTTAGATAAGTTAATAAAATTTCACAGGTTAATATATTGTTGATAGGCTATCTATGCAGTTGGTTTGTAATTAAAGTACTCAGCTCTCAACCAACAAGTCAGGCTTATTTATTTTTATTTTATTATTTTATTTGAACACATAAAAATTGTTACAAGAGGGCACCAAATGTATATGCGCCACACAAAACAATGAGAATTCGAAGAAAAAAGAAGGTAAGGAGCGTTAAAAAAAGAACAATAACGAACAGATTAGTGTAAGGTAGTGTCATAGTAATAAAAATAATAATAGTAATGATGGGGGAAACGGAAAGGTACAATCAGAAGAAATCTCTCAGTTAAAGAACATACAACCAGTTTTTTAAAAAGAAAGTAAAAGAAGGTTACAGCAGGATCGCCACTGGCTTCTATTCTGAGCCATATCTGATAACGTCTCTAGCCACTGTGTAGCACCATCTCTCGGACCCCAACCAGGGAGTCGTGAAGGACCAACACAAGCCAGTCCTTTGCAGCTTTCTTTCATGCCACGACACCATGTCATGCACTGACCACCTCTCCGCTTCTTCCAACCAGTCCCAGAGTCGGCAAATAATGCACGACGTGGAATTCTCTGGGACGACATTCGGAGAACATGTCCAAGCCACCGAAGTCGGTGTTTCAAGATGGTGACACCAATTGATTATCATCTCTGTGCCCGAACACACGATGCCGAACCTCTGCATTACTGACATGGTGTTGCCACTGAATGTCAGCAATCCTTCGGAGACAGCGATGATCGAACACAGAGAGTCGTCTAACGTCCTCAACTCGGAGAGGCCAGGTTTCACAAGCATAGAGCAAAACTGCTCTCACCGACGCGTTGTAGATCCGACCTTTTACAGCCAGACTAACATCACGAAGGCGCCAAAGGTGGCCCAGATTGGCATAAGCCGCTCTGGCTTTCACTATTCGTGCATTGATCTCATCACTCACACCCCACCAGCACTTATGCAGCTACCCAGATACACGAACTTCTCGACTACGTCTATCTGCTCACCATCCAGGGTGAGTACAGGATTAGAATCCTGCCAGTCTTGTAGAAGTACTTTGCACTTCGAAGGTGCAAAGCACATACCATACCTACGGACACTGATTGCCAACTGATTAAGTGCGGATTGCATGCCTTGGGCATTATCGCACAGTAAGACAATATCGTCCGCATACTCAAGGTCGAGAAGTCTTTCTCCAGGCAACAGATCCACACCACCATTACTTACATTCATCAGAGCTGTTTCCAGAATGTCATCGATGGCAAAGTTGAAGAGGAATGGTGAGATTGGGCAACCCTGCCTAACCCCACTGCTCGAATGGAACAATGGAGAGAGGTGGTTGTATGCCCTCACTCTGCCTGAGGTGTTTTTATATAGGGCTTTTAGGATGTTAATAAACTTCTCAGGCACACCCTTCTTCAATAGACAATCCCAGAGAACAGTCCTGTCCAACGAATCGAAGGCAGCCCTGATGTCAAGAAACACTACGATTGTTGGCCTTTGATAAGTATGGCGGTGTTCTAACATTTGGCGGAGGGTGAAGATATGATCAATACATCCTCGACCAGAACGAAACCCAGCCTGCTCCTCGCGAGTCAATCTTTCTCGGGTTTTGAACAACCTACGAAGTATGACGGAAGCCAATAGCTTGGACGCAATCGGAAGTAGACTTATCCCCCGATAGTTGTTACAGGAACGACGTGAACCCTTTTTAAAGATAGGGACAACTATCGACTCATTCCATGACGTTGGTACACTCTCTAGTTCCCAAACCTTTGTAAACAACGTCGTCAATTCCTTAGTCAAAAAGTCACCACCATCTTTAAAAAGAGCCGGAGGTAAGTCATCTGGGCCAGGTGATTTGTAACGCTTCAAGAGTTGGAGTTCCTTGCGGACTTCCTCCTCATTTGGTGGATCAGTCGTCACCGGCCATGGAGGGCAGGACAGTCTGACCGATGTTGCCGGAGCAGCAGGCCAGTTGAACTGCCCTTCGAAAAATTCTGCCCATCGTCCAAGACGTCGATGGATGTTAGTGATTGGCATCCCATCATCCTCGCAGATTGTTTCACTCACACCAGACTTCTTGCTGCCAGTGGCTCGGATGAGTTGGAAGAGCTTCCGGTAGTTACCAGATGCAGCTGCTGCTTCCAGCTCATTAGCACGCTCCGACCACCAGGCTTCTCGGTCCTTACGCAAGCTTTGCCCAATTTCCTTACGTAACATCCTTCGTTTATGGTCAAACTCACGGTCACCCGGAGTAGACCGACGGGCTTCAATGAGTTGTAAGGAACCAGAAGAAACCCAGTGCTTATAAGCGGGACGTTTCGCAAACCCACAACTGACTGTTCCCGCCATTTTCATGGCGTCATGCAATTGCAACCAATGCTCATCTATACTTTTCGGTGGAATGGTAGCTAGCCTAGAGGCTAGCTCGGTTCGATACTTACTTGCAACAGAAGTTGCAACCAGCTTGCTAACATCAATCCTTTGGTGGCAGTCACTTCGTTGTCCACTGAAAAGTAAGGTAAGATTGGCGCAGACCAAGGCATGGTCAGAGTCCAGATAGGTACTCCAAAAGGAGCGGCAGTCTTGTACACAACCACGCCAGCGGTAGCTGATCGCGATGTGATCAATCTGAGTCCAGGCTTGAGATGCAGAGGGAGGACGCCAGGTGGCACATCGGCGATGACTGTGCCGAAAGTTAGTGCTAGTCAGAAACAGATTCTGGTCTGTGCACAGTTGCAGTAGACGGTCCCCGTTATCTGTCCTGCGACTAACAATAGTACAAGGAGGCACCAAGTAGATATGCGCCACATAAATCAATCGATTTGTGTGAGGGCTGTGATACTGCCCAGGTGCCCGAACCGAAGCAGGTGGTTTTCTTAGGGGGCCACACCCCGAGCATTTGACCTAAAGGTCTGACCCACAAGGCTGTGGAGAATCGTGAGGAGATGCAGTCCCGTGGTTGCCAGTGACCAGCGATTGGTTCATACGCCATTTGTTCCCTCAGGATATTGGAGCCCATGTGCACCATTGGTTTGGAATCCGGTTAAAGCGCCAGACATTCGCTTTTCGTCCTCTCATTTTCGTAAACAACACCCGTGGTACGAGAAGGCAGTGAGTAGGACTTCCCTGGCAGAGGCTGTATACGCGTGGCCGTGTGAGGGCATTTCGAGAGGGAGGGCGGGCGGGCCTACTCCATTCTTGGCCATACCAGGGCATTTGGGAGCTACAAGTCAGGTTTGAATCTCGTCTTATCTACCTTGATTTGTGAAGTCGGACGTTATCAGTAGCCTTCTCACAAACCATATAACTGAAATCCTTTTGTATAAGTTCGCACTTAGTAAATAAGTTATTCAGATTGTATCGTTAAAGCCTATATGGTGTCTGATTATCCTGGAAACGCGATTGAGCCGTACTATTTGGGCTACAAATTTTAAGCCTGGGCGATGTCTGACTCTCCTGTTAAACGGGATTGAGCTGTACTGTTTGTTTTGTCACGTGAAAGTTTGAATGATGTCTGGTTCTCCTGAAAATCAATGTAAAATTACCCTGGCTTATAAGGGTATATTATATAATTAAATAATTTATATTCGTGTATAAAATTGAGTAGTTCGGCATTTATCGATGTTATTTCCTTTGTAGTTTTCTATTGTTTTCTCAGTATTACTTCTTAAAGGGTGAGGAAAGCTTTAGGATGTGTATGTATTTTTATTGTGAAATCGTTTATGTTTTCGAAATGTATATCGATTCCATTTTTATAAACATAATTCTCTCATAAACTATCAATCAGACCGTTCTGCATATTTTCTCTGGCAGTAACATATTCTACAATGTGCAATTTGTAAAAACAGTTGTTCCCTAAGTATCAAATTATCTTGAGAAAATGAATTAACCCATATAAACGTTATGTTAGAAGTTTAAAAATTTGTAGTTAGATATGATTATTTACTTGTGTATATACCTACAGAAAATGATATTTCGTTAGGTTATTATCTCTAAACGAATATAAAAAAGCTGGACAATTGACATGTGTTTAGCTATCGAATATTCAAATTACGTAACTAAAGTTATGTATCACTGAAACATCAAGTTAAATAGAAAAAATGTTTTTCGTACATATACTGGGTTCGAATCTCGTGGGGGGCGAGATCGTGGATGCGCACTACTGAGGACTCCCACAATAGGGCGAGACAACCGTCCAGTGCTTCCAGGTTTTCCATGGTGGTCTAGCATCAACTAAATCATGATCTCAACCATTGAAATTACTATGATTTCCACAAAACCCCTTCTAATAATTTAAGATACAATTTTTTGTGTAGATAGATTTCAATTTAATCTGTTCTGGGTCAACTCAATTTGTTGATCAGAATTCATTATTCTATGAGTTCTGTCTTAATTAATGTTTAATGCAAATTGATTTTATTTGAGTATTTCTCCTGCAATAGGAATAAAAACAGGAATAAATTAATAAAAATTTTATTGGTTATTTAAGTGTTTTGTAATCCCTGGTCTTGGGATAGATCTTTAAGTTATTGAAATGATATTTTGTACGTTTTGAATAAAACAATTTTCAATTTATCATATTTAAGATCTATTCTTTTCTATCTTGGTTTCATGTTAAAATGTTTTATATATTTTTATAAATTGTTTTTTCCCCTAGTTAGTATCAACTGCAAATGTGGCTGTCGGTCAGCAAGATTCAATTCATAGGATAGCTGAATGCGGATGGTTACATAATAAAATTAAACAATTTGTAAGTCGTGCTCGAAATGATAGATCTGCTGGGACTATTGTACAAAGTTTTGCTTCTGGCTTACATGAACACTTAACCGAGTATTACCGTCTAGTCGCCACTTTAGAAGTAAGTGTATTTATAGATATATTTATATATAGTTGGTGGTTAATCTTCCTGACATATTTAATTGATTTATATGTTTGAATATATTTGAGGTCTTATTGCTTATGAATTTAACTAAACTTCCATTTATGATTATTCGCTAATAGACTCTGTAATATGTTGCCAGAATTGTTTTTTTTATATCAAACTGTAGTCTTTTAAATATGGATATAAAATTATCTCATTATTTATTTCGAACTGTGTTATTTTTAGTTGAATGTTTCATTTTTGAAATTATCTTTAGAGATCCACTTCACTGATGAACGGGTTGATTTTCGGTAGTCATGATATGATTAAAGAGCTCGAAGCAATGAATCATTTTGACTAATTGTTGATAATGATCCATTCAGTGTACTAGTCGGTTTCGTAGATATTTTATTTGGTGTAATCTATTTTTCAAGATAATTTTCATATCACTAGACTTCTTGTTACTAGGAGCCCAAGTAAATTGGAATTGTTCCAGGGAATAGCTAAATGCAATCACTATTTCTTTATTTTCCTGTCTATGTACAATCATCCAATTCGATTTATGCAGATGGATTACATTTATACTTTCTAACTTTTTTGTGAAACACTGTAACTGTGTATGAAGACCGTAAACAGAATTTCTGATGTTTATCAAAAGATATTACTTATTTATACTTTTACTAATCATATTATGAAATTAAATAGCCGTATAGTGTCTAACAATTAAGATTATACACCAGTTAATATCTGGATGAGATTAGTGAGAAACATTTTTCAATTGTTGAAATTACACAATATAAAATGTTATCGGTTATAAACATTGCAATCAATTGTTTTTAGTTACTTACTGACAACCAGAGTATTTTTTTAAATTTCAAAATTATACGTGAGTTGTGATAAGATTTAACATTCAGTTTTTTTTTCATGATCTAATACATTCTAAATTTTTTCTATTAAAAAACAGGTATAATAATGGATCGATTTTCAGGCACTTAATCTACATGAGACTTGTTTATAGCATAAATTCCAGGACTTTTTACATAATTTTTAGACATAGCGTTTGGTTACGGCCTCTTTTGTATGTGTGTAGCTTAAACTCATGGTGAACAATATGATCTCAAGTATCTTTAGAAGTATGGGAGCAGTTACCGATTCCCAGTTGCCCATACCATTGGAGAATATTCCTTGTTGAGGGATCTAAGAAAGAAGTTGTGTTAGTAGTGGTCTTTGTTACTTGGGAGCGCAACCGCAGAGCCCAATCGACAATTGTGTGAGCATGATAAAACATGGAAATTGTTTGATGAATTAGCTCCGTACTTAAAAAGGCTTTACCGCCGAAGAAAAAACCCCTTGGGGTAAGGTGAGGTGCATCATTTGTAGGATTGACCCTTACTCTTTCATACGAAGCCGGCATCGATACAGATGTTGGTTGTCTGTCACACCCCACTTAGGTCAGCAATACAACTTCGCCCTCAGACCTTAAGTTACTGCTTTTATTCTCATCGTTCTCTAGCCGACTTATCTGAAATGTTAGAATCTAACGAAACAAATGTTCTAGCCAATATGGCTCGTTTAAGTCATCATGATTGGAAGCCTGACTACCTCCTCAAGGTAGCAGCTATAGTAGGGACTTAAACCAAAGACTAATAGTTATTTGCTACTGTATTTTAGTAGTATACAATATCAAAATAGTGTTATTCTATATACTGTAAACAGCTATGTCTGATAATCAATCAAAGTTTGAATCGAGTTTTTCTCTTCATTCTTGTCTGATGTTTTTATTGTTTATCAGTCACAACTGAATCAAGATAAACATGATTTCTCCGGAGATCATCATACTAATCAGTCTGATCAAGGCACAGACTATGGTAGATCACTAGAAAATATTGCAAGTTTTATGCATGGTGATGTTGGAGGCTTGGATTCTCATGCCGATCGTACCAGTGATCATCAGTCAACCTCTTCGTTGTCTTTTGTCCAACCGTTGACAATAACTCGGTTGGTTTTATGGACTCAAGAGCCTCGGTTGAGACTACGATTTCTAGCCAGCTTATGTGATGTTTGTCATGGTTTAAGTGGTGGAGCATTAGCATCTGAAGTGTTTGCTTATACACTTCATGGCGATCCTGAAGTAGCGTTGATTATGCGACATTTAATGTCCAATATTGCTTCCAGTTTGTTACATTTTATTAGTCAATGGATTTATGATGGTCATCTAGACGATCCATATCAAGAATTCTTTGTTGAATCAGATACCTCAGTGAAAATGGATCGTTTATGGTATGATAAATATAATCTTCGGCATAATATGATTCCAAGATTTATCACTTCAAGCCAAGCAAATAAGGTATATTTATTATGTATATAATTTCATGAATTTTACATTTTATTTTTTTATTAAAAACATTAAGGAAATTTCTTTTTAACTGTAATGGCTTGTTAATTGAAAGGTACTTGATTCTTAATCAGTGAGTTGCAACTCCAAACCCTTCACTTCATTTCGATTTAAGCAGTCATATGTTATCGCTGTTTCTTACAAAAACAACTTAGCTCAAATTGTTAATTTTTAATAAATGAATTATTCAGTGGCGCCTTTTGTAAAATATCCTTTCCTCAATTGGTATAGAAGTAGAGTGATGAAGACGTAGGTACTAAAATTCAATTACAATTTTGTTACGCAATAGTCAAAGGGGAATAATAATGAAATAATATAGAAACGCGATATGAAAGATTTTCCCTTTGATAATTGTAAGAAAGATAAAATTATGAGCGAATAAAGATATATAAGATATAAAACAGAGATTGGAGAGACAGCTGTTTACTTGAATAGTTTAGGAAGATGAAGAAGCAAATATGAACACAACAAGTAATAACTAATAAAATATGATGAGGTGCACTAACCACGGTAAACTAATGGATTGAATATACTGTTTCTGCATACAAATCAGACCCGAACTGACGAATCACCAAAAGTTTCTTATTTGGCTTCTCTTTGAACCAGCTTATCTCAATCTATGAATAATTTTAAATGAGGACTCAGGTGGAAGTAAATGCTCACAATTTACTAGATGTTCAACAATCGAGCTAATGAGTAGTTTTCATGCACATTTTGACAACCAACCTAAATAGTATTCAGATAAGCATTTAGAAAGAGCACACATTGTGCGGCCAACATAAAAACTCCAAAACAGCAAGTAATCTGGTAGATAGACATTAAGGTAGCACAAAGCGGACAAAATATAATGAAAAATTGTAATAATAACTGTCCTCAAGCGTATGACAAAAGAATCCAATTGATGAGTTTGTAAATCGCCGCCAGCCAGTTATGTGCAACTTAGAGCCTGGCAGATATGTGCATTGGTTTAAATTGCCATACCATAAAGTGCAACTAGATGTGATTATCAATGCAAATGCCAGTTAGAGTAGTAGAAGTAGTAACAGTATCAGTGGTATAAACAATAGTAAAATAATTCACTATTCAAAATACTTGACTTTTTTTCTATCCATTAAATTTTATGTTATTTTGGTTTCCAGTGACTTTTTCAACATGTAAATAATCACCAAAGTACTATGTTATTGCCAATAAAAATAATTATCCTTGATGAGGTTGTGGATCCACACCTTCTGAGTAGTAGTGCACTTCTAGTATAGTGAATGAAAGCTCAGGTACGGTAAACCAATTTCTTGTTTCGTGCAAAATCACACAATGTCTTTGTAAAATATGAAGATCGTACATTAAATACTCATTTGCGCAACTTCCTTCAGTTATCCTTTACATACTCCATCATGCTTCTAATTCTGTTGTTATTCCGATTACTCCTCGTTCTTTCCTGTTCTCTTTATCTCAATCTGCTGTTGGTAAGCATCCCATTTCTGCTACATACTACTTGTATCTGTTCACATAAGAGGCGCATACCACACTAGTACAAAGTATAATCTAATAGTCTATTGTTTTTAATGATATTCTAGGTAGTCAGTTTGTGGTGTAATATAAATAAATATTTTACTTTTTTATCGTTAAGGATTTTCAACTATTTTGTTCTTTTTTCTTCTATATTCATGTTCCTAGATTCTTGTCACTGGTAAATCGATCAACTTTTTAATTCATGTTTGTGGCGAAAAACAAGGCATTAAAAATCGTGAATCTATTCGTCATACACGTTTAAAAAAGGGTTTGTTTTGTTCAAATGTTATATAGTTATTTTGTCATTTTGTTGTGCTGGTTCTTAGAATCGATTTACACGCCCAAACCCTTACATCCTCACACACTCACGTGTACAGCACAATATCTTTATATTTCTAAGCAATTATTTAGACTGATATAATGTACATCAAATTCTGATGTAATTCCAAAATAATAATAGCAACAATAATAATAGGCATTTGCATTGTTTAAATCGATTGTAGTAGCATTTCTTACATGTATAATTTGATAAGTGGTATATATATATATATATATATATATGCTGTTGTACATGGATTGATTTGACGTAATTGATGTTTTAATGGCATTGGAAATTTCTAAGTTTGATTAGCATACAGTCCTATTGTCATTTATGTATATAACTAAATGAATAAATATGTATAGAGTTGAAGTAATCAACCTATGCTCTAATTTACACAGTCACAGAAAGTACCTAATAAATTAAAGGAAATTGAGAACACCCTACGTGACACAGTGTAACAATAGTGTAATGAAATGTAAAGTAAAAAGCATTAGGTAATAACAAAGGATATGAATGGTGAACATTAAGGGGTAACGTTTTAATCGAAACCCAATAAAGATAGATTTCTTCCGGTCAGTGTTTTTTTCACTGGTAATGAAGAAAACAGTGGGAAACTATACTAGAATCAACTTGTTAGATAACATTTCAGCTTTTTGAGTTGTTTGGTGTTCAGTGCTCTATACAGAAGTTTGTCAGGAGTAAACGAATACTAATCTAACGCATCTATCTCATTGTTTCACGGGGTTATGTCACAAACTGTTTGTTGATCCAATTACTATGATCAATCTTCGAGTAAGCAAATAATGCCCGGTATGTAGATTACTGGGATGATATGAGTAAGCGTCAAGTTTCAGATAAGCCTGAAATATTGGATCGAGTCCAAGTAAAGAACATATCTTAGTGATCATTGACCAGGTTATCGATGTTTCCAGTTTACTTATCAGAATTTCTGCATTGATTGCAAAATTGTCCGAACAGAAGTATATGTTTTTTCTTAAGCAATTATTCCTGACTATATGATCTTAAGATTTGGACTATAAGGTGGTGGAACGAGGTAGGTAAATGCATTTATTTGATCGGAGGTAACTACAGTTGTTTCGTTTACGGCTTGTTACTTTGGGGTCCTGGATTTCATATGTATCATTTGTTTAAAAGTATAGTTTCCCGACTTGCGTTGTTTAACTTGGTGCATTTATCAACCTGATCTCAAGCCTTAGATGCCCACTTTATCTCTCTTACTTCCAAGAGAAATCTAATAATTATGTGAATGTAATGAGTGTAGGATTTAATTTGTCCTAAGATATTCTACCGGAATTGTAAACGCGATACTGACGACCCAGAGCCTACGTAAAAGCTACAATCAGAACAAGGACAACTTGGCTGTAAACTTTATCTGTTTCGAAATGTTAAAAAACAATTCGATTGGTACAATAATGAAAGGGATCTTAGTCATCAAGTGAAACGCACAACATACTAACCAGTATTGCGTGCCTGACCGAAATGAATAAAAAAAATATTAGTTGCAGTCACACTGATATGATAGGATAATAATGTCCTTCAATTGGTAGGTCACATGTAACAGGGAGATTCTACAGAAACATCAGGCCAGGTAGACGTGGTGGGCGTTTAAGTAACAATTTGATTGGTTAGTTATGGAAATAACTAACATTCCTCCCAAGCGGACACCACTTTCAGGCTTCGCCACTGTCGCGTTCAAATAATTGGCTTCTTCTGACAGTCAGATTTCGTATATCCCGTCTGATCTCTTCGATCGTTGTCTTCAGCCGAACTGTTCTGACTTGTCCATCTGGACCATAATTGACTTGCGTAACTATAGCTTTCGGCTACTGATTTCTCGGTGAGCCAATATTGTTTACTAACACTAAATCTCCCGGTTGTATATTTCTTCTCATGTTCAACCACTTGGATCTCGCTTGAAGGTTTGTTAGGCACTCCCATATCCATCTGTTCCTGAATAGGTTAGCTAGTTGTCGCTCTTCCTTCCGTCTACTAGTTTGTCAGTAATATATGTTTTGTGTAAAAAAAAAACCAGTAACATTTATGTATCCAGTAAAGTAATAAAATTAAACTTAAGTTTCTTGCTCCATTATGTCATATACTGATAACTCCATAACAAAAATGCATTTACTCTAAAACTAATGATTCACTCAGTAATAATTTTCGATAAACTCTCCCTTAATAAACTATTTTAATTCGGAAGTGAATGTATTAGAAATATGTTGTAATTGTGTTTTGTGGAAATCTTCATACGGGGTTAATATTCTATTAAGTTAGTGTTAACTAACTTCCATATTACTGTGACTTACCTGACAAGGTAATTCAATTCATAAGCTTCACCACAAGTATCTCAAACCTTATATTCGTAACCGTAGTACTCAGAAGCAACTTCATCTCTGAACTCCATGCCTTCTCTAGATGTCATCTCCGGACCATAGCTACATAAAAGGCTTCACGATAGTCCAACATTTTGTTGATGATGTACGATCATATAACCTTCCAAATACGCTAAATTAGAAATCTTGTCAAGTACTTGATACACGGTGGTGAGCTATCCGTAAATCCGTTTTAAAAACCGCGCGTAACTCAACAATCGCTATCTTTACTCTGGCTGGTCAATTCCATTTGTTTCATGCTCAAAATATGCATATTTACAAAATTTACAAGATGTGATATAAAAACGGTTGCACGTTGGTAATTATGTATACATATTTGGGTGTGACTATGCTTTACTAGCAACATTTCGTGACTCTTACAGTGACCATGAGAAAGTAAAGCCTACTTTTTAGCCAATCAGAATGCATGTGTTGTAAATGAATTATTCGTCGCGTAGTAACCAAGCAAGATTAGATTTAGGAGTTGAAGTTAGAAGTTGTGCTTGAAATTCCAGGCTAGGAGTAATTGTTAGAAATGGTTTTTGAGAATACTTTCTGGTTATATTAATGAATACTTATGTAGTCAGCGATTTAATTTTAAACATTAAAAACCTTTTGGTTACCTTTGAAAATTCATAAATCATAATTCCATATCTTTATTCTCATTTTTATCGATTTTAAGCATCTTAGTAAGTGAATATTGGTATTTTTTAATTCAGATATAAGCTATCCGTCATCAAGTTCTGATATTGCTCAAAAAACTAGTAGTTACTGTCTTAGACCTGATTGATTTCTCAGTAAATCATCCTTTTACCTCTATTTATACATTTGGGTATTGGGAAAATCATAATCTTTTCATGCGCCAAAATGTATGCAACTCATGTGCTGAATACGTGGGTTTACTTACTTTTGAGCCACATACTTTTTGTGTATGTGGAGCTACCTGAAGTAAATTAGATGGAGCATCGTTCGGACTTGCGACCTGTTGGTTAGAGGCAATATTAGTGATCCAACTACTAGGCCTGAAGTAGGGTTTGAAGCTATATAAAACTATTTTCTACGAGCATGTACAATGTAACCCAATCATGGGAAACAGTTATACTAAAAGCTATGGTTCGAATTAATCGTCCAATGAAAATTACACTCTAGTACACACCACTTACCTGTTTATTTAATGGAACAATAACCGAAAGTGCTAAGTATGTTACACTTATTGGATGTTGAAAACCTTGCAAATAATCTCACCCGAAGTAAGTGAAACGGGATTTAGACCATAAATTCTTTTTGTTACAAACTGGCTATTAAACGAGATGATAATACGAGCTTGAAATCTGATGACTAAAATAAATGATTCTAATCGAATAATGGTTAGTCAGTATATATGCAAACAGTTCACTTTCGTACTGGTCCAGAAATATTTTCATCGTATAAAAGATAAATTACTTAGTTTTGCCACATCTATTTTTTGACTATCGATTCAGCTGCTTCATCTTACATCTGACTAAACAATTTTGCTAATGAATTAACGAGTATCGCCCTTTGTAGTTTGGAAAGCCAGAAATAATTAATCCTCATATCCATCCTATCATATTTAGTCTATAGTGGTCAAATGGTAAATAGGACTAAAAGACTCAGAGTAGTTTATTAAATGCCGTCACAATTTTCAAGTTCAGTCCATTCTCGTGTTACGCATATCAGAAGCCGAAGGAATCTAGACTAGTAATCCTACTTCCCATGTTCTACAAAACGTTTGTAATATCTCTGTTCGTTTCTTTGAACAGATGATACTATTAATCCTTTCTACCCTTTGTTTGCTTGTTTTCTTAACATCTGCGTACTCAAGCTGACTATTCACATATTATTCTTAATAGTTATTATTTAAAAAAGTTTACTAGTTTCAACAATTGACCTACTTTCTATATCAATATATTTGGTCACGTTATCATACTGTTTATTATTCTTAGATTTATTATTATGCCTACTACCTACCTTAATAGTAATCTATAATTATGACTTGCTGTAATTAGTTATGTGATCCTCTTCATTGTTATTATTCACTCACTAAGTACCTTGCTTATAATATCTTTCACATTTACATATAAATACTGCCGTACTTTTTGTTGATGACTTCATTGTATACACAATTCTTCGCTTATATGTGTTCTATTAACTTTATAAATCATCTTGTTAATCGACATTTTTTCTTACTCAAGTAAAAAGCTATATTATTGGTTAGTTTTTGGATTGGTAGCTGATCGCAATATGATCAATTTGAGTCCAGATCTGAGATGCAGAGGGAGGACGCCAGCTAGCACATCGGTGATAACTGTATCGGTAGTTAGTGCTAACCATGAACAAGCTTTGGTCTGCGAAGAGTTGCAGTAGACAGTCGCCGTTATCTGATCTGCGACCAGCAAGTCCTATTTACCTAGACGCCGGACCTGTGCATTCAAGTCTTTAGCTAATACTACAATATCGTAGTCGTTCTAGCATTCAGCTTTCGATCAGCCAGTGACTTGAGATCATTTAGATAGGACTGGGTTTTCACCATAGTCGGACTGCTGTATGAGTTAAGAAATAAAATACTCAAAATAAAAATAAAGAGGAATACATAAGGGACGTAGTATAAAAGAAATAAAAACGAATGTTATCAAACGGTTGTGAATATGATTTATCTGAATGAGAGTTGAAACAAGGGTAATTTTCCAGTAGTAACTATCACTTGACGTGTGTGTGGGCTATGATACTGTCAACGTGCCCAAACTGAAACAGGTGGTTTCTTAGGGGCCCACACTCAGAGCCTTTGACCTAAAGATCCAATCCACCAGGCAACGGAGCAACATAAGGAGATGCAGTCCCATGGTAGCCGGTGACCAACAATAGTTTCATACGTCTTTTGTTCCTTCAGGATCCTGGAGCCCATGTACACCGTTGATTTGGGATCAGGGTTTTCCAACTCCTCTAGGTGGAACCTCCGTATCCACCAACCCAGTTAAAGCGCCGGACATTCACTTTTCGTCCTCTCATTTTCGTAAAAACCGCAAGAAAGCTGTTTGTAGGACGTCCCTGACAGTGGCTGTATACACATGGCCGTATGTGAGGGAGAGCTGACTCTCCCTACTCTCGATCGTACCAGGGCATTTGTGGGCATATAGTACAATGCTTTGATATTTATAGAGAATCTCGAGATGTTTTTGAAAATCATTTACTAAAAATAAATGGTTTCATCTTCATATACATTATTTTAAATTTAAAAGAAAGATGTTTTGTTAAATGATTCTTGTCGGAATTTTATCGAAAGAATTTTCGTATTTAGCAATAGCAAATGTAAATATAGAAGTCATTTGTACTGTAACCTCTATATCATTAAATCACTAGTTCACTCAACTTTGATTTTTACAGCTGAATATTTTGCAGATTGCTTTAAAACCTGTCAACAATTAAGTTTTTATGTAATCTCTATGTTCCCTAAGTTGTAGTGGTGGCTCAGTTGTTAAAGGGTTCCACTCTCAGTCACGAAGTTTCAGCCTTGATTGGTACTTTGCATACATCCGTTTGGGTACTTGATTAATGTCATTGATCCTGAGATTTAGACTGTGACTCAAAGTCAACTACACGAATCTAATGAATTAATAATAAGTGTATTTATTAAAATGTATTTTCTTTTTCCATTATAGTTGAATCCATGTTTGAACAAGATTTGGATCAATCATTTGATCAAATGATATCTACTGTATATAAACAAACTAGTCAACATTTATTAGAAACATTAATAGGACGTTATCATTTTCTAGATCATTTAAGAGTAAGTATAATTTGCGAACATTTATTCATCAGTTGTTATGCTACATTGATTAGTTTATATTATCATTATTCCAAATTTAATGGAGCACATTGGGTTAATTATTAAAGACTTTAGTTTTCTCAATTACCGGTATTTGCATCTTGCTTGTAGTAATATTGACAACCGTTTTATAGAAAAACATCTTACACGAACCTCAGTATAATATACAAAATTTTTATTGGACTTATGATTTGTAGTAAATACTAAATTTTCTCACATATGTATGGATCCAACTGTTTATCATTGGATATGGACTAAAGTTGAGTTTATATCATTAGTATCTTTTGTTGAATATGATGAACAAACTTGTGAATATTGTTAGTCATATGAGTTACTCTAGCTTAACGAGGTAAAGACCGAACGCTAACGTAAATAACAATTTGATCATATGGTCAAACTTATCGCTATATCATATCAATACTAACAGTTACGAATTAAACCAGAAAATTTAATATATTGGACATTTCATCACATTGCAACCCGATCGATACATTTTAATCAATATTGAAGATTAGACAAATATAGCATAGGTTACTCACACAATCAATGTATTGTATATGATCTCAGGTTCGAACCCCGATTCACCTACTTCGGTTTAAATAACCGGACAGTATGGTTTGGCCTCACACTTAGAGTGTAGCTTATACTCAAGTACCTAGTGGATGAGTTATTTTGATGTAAATTAATGTACTAATTATTACTCGCTTGTACTATGATCTAATTTGTCTTCGTTATTATAATAATTATTATTAAATCTTCCAGGCTACAAGACAATTTTTACTCTTAGGACAAGGGGATTTTATTCAACATCTCATGGATTTGTTAGAGTAAGTTCTAGATAATATTATTCTGTATTATTGTTCTTTATACTAACACAACAAGACTGTAAATTTACACTTATTAGTTTTTCATTTAAAATTAATAATGTCTTTGACATGATGTTGCTCTATTGTACTTAAAACAATAATACTGATATTTCGACTTAGTAATCTGATAAGCTAAGTAGGCCGAAGTAAAGTATATTGACGATCACATTAAAGATGGATTATATTGGATTTTAGTCTGTACTTCAAACCCCCATAGATGATAACTTGATAAAAATACCATTAAAAATCCTGATAAATGAATTCTATGATGAAAACGTTAAAAATCGCTTACAAAGTTGTAGACTATTTAGAAAAATATTTAATTTCATACACATAATTCCCTTTATCATTTTGAAAAGAGCAGGAACAAAGATTCTAGCAGAATAACATGAATTCATTTTATTTCGTAGGTTCTCTTCAGCTGATTACAACCTATAGTATTTAAAAAGATAATAATTACATAATGGGTTTAAATTGCTTACATGAGAGGGTTTATATTGAAGAAATATTCGTAAAGTATGACATGGGTGTAAATGAAATTAATAGGCTGAATATTGTAAATATATACTTAATGTGAAAGAATATTCTAGAGCATCGATTGTGACAACAGTTCAAAAGTGGGTTAGAAACAATGTTTATTGATTATGTAATCAATTGTTTCTAACCCACTTTTGAACTGCTGTCACAATCGATGCTCTAGAATATTCTTTCACATTAAGTATATATTTACAATATTCAGCCTATTAATTTCATTTACACCCATGTCATACTTTACGAATATTTCTTCAATATAAACCCTCTCATGTAAGCAATTTAAACCCATTATGTAATTATTATCTTTTTAAATACTATAGGTTGTAAGCAGCTGAAGAGAACCTACGAAATAAAATGAATTCATGTTATTCTGCTAGAATCTTTGTTCTTGCTCTTTTCAAAATATTTAATTGCCAATGCGGAGAGGAAAATAGTACTGACTAATCATAGAGACAGAAAATGAAAAAGTATTTCGTTGCCATAAATGCCGGAATAACAAATTCATTAGAATTGGTCCACTTTTTATTGATTTAAGTTGAATCTAAAACAATTAGTACATTTATTTCTGCATTGGATAATAGAATGTAAAATAACACAGAGTGTTCTGGATAGGTATGTTAATAGTTAGTGCGGTTCAGTAGTATCATTACCATCACAAAGTATGTTCCGAAATTATGATACTTATAGCACTAACACAGTAGAACGGGTAAATTTGTTGAGGTTGATGAATCAGCTATCAAACAAGGAAATATTACTAAGGAAAAAGTAGAGAAATCGACTGGATAAGTTTCTCTAGTACGGCAGTTTTTCGGGATTGGGGACAGATTTCTTGAAATGGCGATTTCGAATATGTTCCAGATTGCAAAGCAAGGAAACTAATACCCTTTATTAAAAAATTGCTCTTTTGGGAACTACTATTTATTCCTAGAAGATATGAGTATTAATGTAGAGTCTTCGTCCACAAATGATAATTCGTGGATCCTACAACTAGGATACTTACAATGGGAAATAGTTTTAAGGTGATTAATAAATATTTGCATGTTTATCATCACGTCACCAAACGGGAAATCCAAAATAGGTTCTGTAAAGGGATTCATTCATATAGCTGAAGTGCGACCCTCTTCCGGAGTCGAAATGAAGTCGTAAATAATTCTTCAGCCGGCTCTACATAAATTCTGTAATGTTAGTGAGTATGGTTATAAACAGTTTCCATCCACAAGCGAAATTTCGTGAATCCTACTTCTGAGATATAGGATTGTTTGTATTTCTTTTGCTGTTGTCGTTAATTCTTTTATTGACCCACAAATAATTGCTTTACTTTATTTCAATCCGCAATCAGAAGATGAGAAAAGGCAATCAATGTATCCTCTTTATAATGACTCAAAAAACTAACATGATTTTCTATATCAATTGCGGGACCATAACGTATCGTTAATAATCAATCGCAATATTTACGTAACTAGGGGATATTTACACTACAAATATGAATAACAACAATTTAGGAACAGGACAAGACGACAGCGGTTCATAAGTCACATGAAAACTTATGATTTAAAGTATGTACAAATCTCACAAAAAGTTTTTAATCAACACAATGAAAATGTAAATACTAATCTACCGAAAATGTAACTTGCAAAGTTTATCATTCTCTCCACAATTAATCGTTACTTTTTATACACCTTAAAAGTTCGTTGTATATATAGTTTTCTCTTCCATACTTTTCCTTTTTCTGCCAAACTGTTTTTTAGTTCAAATTTAAATAAACCATGTTCACAAATACTACTTAGTCGATTAAGTGGTATATTGGAGACAGCTATACGCGATACTAATGCACAATATGAGCAACCGGAAATTCTTCAACGCTTAGATGTTCGTTTACTGGATATATCAACAGGTTAGTTAGTTTAAACAAAGTTCTTCATGTCTATATATCCAGATATCCTTTGTTGTAATTTTATTCGTTTATTATTATTAACTTTACCAGCTATACATTTGTGTAACTGACTTTGGGCCACAGTGTAAGCTTGATGGCAAACATTACTACCCGGCTGCTCAAGTAGAACGAGGCGGAGTCGGGCTCGAACCTACGACCTAGTGGCTTAACGCCTGCTTTATTCACTACTTTTTTGTTACTGCTTCCAAGTCATTTCATTGGACTTTTATTATATCAAACAATTGATTAATAGTTTTCTAGTTTACCGAAACCCGAACGCTAACAATTTCGTAAGTTGATTGTGTTCGGTCACTTTGTTTGTAGTCCATTCTATACATCAAAGTACTTTTATCTGTTATTTTCCTTGTCGGAGTACGTCCAACAATTTACAACATAGCAGCTTCTATCTCTGCACCTAACCAAATTGAAATAAATTGTAATCTATTGTCTATCACCATCAGGATAAAATTTCCTTTACAATTTTTCGATAATACGAAACACATCAATTAGTATCTAACATGGAGATTAAAAGTCAAACTTTATCAGTTACCTTCTTTTGGCTATCATCTTGATAATTTCTTCTTCTGGTCTGCTGATATGAAGTGTGTGACAACTTCGACCAATACATATCCGTTGTTGGCCCTGAATTATCTCTAACTGACTGACTGAACTAGTCTCGACTGTGAATTTATATTACGAAGGTATACATAATCATTATTAGCCTGTTACTAATTTCTTTTGATTATTATTTATTAGTGGTAGTGGTGTCTAGCGGTGGTGCTTTCAATAGTCTGACTGTCTAATCGGTCACTTTTACACGCGATGCTTATGAAGGTTCATTAGCTAGTTTAGTGAACATTAGGCGTAGGCGAGATATCGGCTTACCAACCAAAGACAAGTTTACTGTGCAACAGTTTGTTTCGTTCTACTTTATCGATGTGAAACACAGTGATTAAAAGTAGAGGATATCCGTAGGTTACTAGTGTTCAAGTATAGGTGCCATTGCAGCATTGCTCGTGTATTTCGGGACCACCAAGTAGAACAATGCTGAGATTAAGCATAGGATACTAGGTAAATATCAGAAGTTGACTAATGAGGTAGTACATCTTCACCAACTGAGTTAGTCGAGATATGTATTACGTATTCCCAAACCTTGCCTACCTAAACGGGCAATATTGTCTGGTGTACGAGGGGTAGGTTGAAAGCAAGCTAGGTCAAAATGCAATGTCTAATTCACTAGAAAAAAGTATAACCAGCCTGTTAGTGTTATTCATTGAAATGAATTGGACCATAACGCCTTGATTAAACTTGGTGACCAAACTAAAACTTGGTACCAGTCCATAGAATCAGTTACAATTGAAGTAAGCCACGTTAATTGGTGTATGATACCAGGTTGGGGTCTGTGTGATCATCGTAATCAATGATGGGAGACTTTAGATGAAATTGCTCAGGATTGTTTGCGATTGCGGAGGTACATTCACTCCTTGTCTTACTTTAGAACTTGAGTACCAAAATGCCCTTATACCTTTTGTTCTGTTTTCTATACCTAATCTTTTTTTACTACTATTCCTAATACTTTGAGGTTTTTTCTGAAATTTTTTTATCTTGGTGTGCTAATGTAATATGACAGCTGGAATCTATAAACATACTTTTCCGTTTCTACATTGAATGTGACTGGTTGATTTAATGAAGCAGTTTGTAGTTGAACACTTATATCCACACTTTGTTGATGAAATAATTTCAGTAACGGGAATTAAATGAGTTCTTTTGTCGCAATAAGTTAGTAAACATTAAATTTTAATGATGGGTGACAAGGATATCTTGGTCACCTGCTACTTCTTATTTAAATCCTTAGCTATGTGTATATGTTTCCAAATGTTGATGTTCTCACGTAGACTCAATCACAATGCTTATCACTTTAAACTCCAGAGAAAGACATCTCTGATCAAATACTAGTGGCCTCCAAGTTTTTCGAAGGCCACATTTGTTTTTCATAAAGTAGGATGAAACGAACTAGAACACAATATACTCGTTCTTGAGTTTATAGATAGAAATCTCTTTTACGCCATTGTTAACGAATGTCCCATAGAGCGTAAATTACACATAGATTTATCGAGTTCTTTAAAAAAATCAACATCTCGTTTTGCTCATACTGATTTTGTTTCAATGTATTACAATCATTTTTATTTGTTTGAAATAGGTCAAGATACTGGATGGGATATATTTTCATTGGATTATCATGTCGATGGTCCATTGGCTACAATATTTACTGATAATTGTCGTTTTATGTATTTATTTTCATTTAATTTTCTTTGGCGTGCTAAACGTATGGAATTTACATTAAGCAATTTATGGAAACAACAATTATGTGCAACACGTTTAGGTTATGGTCTACAAATTGATTTATCATTAGTATTACATTTATTACAATTATTCGGTGCAGAAATACGACATTTTATTCAACAGCTACAATATTATATTAATTTTGAAGTGAGTTCATTCATATCATGTTACATGTATATTTTACTACGATGAGGGATTTGTGTAGATTATTGAATTGTATTATTTTACATCACTGTGTAGTGATCTCAATTAGAGATCCATTAAAAAACTAAAAGCAATGGATAGCTATTTAGTCTTAGTATGGAACTTAGCAGCTGGCATTCATAACACTATTAGAGGTCAAATAGTACACTTTTGGGTTTCGTGTTGAACATAGTTTTTAGACTACTGAATCCGCACCCATTGGTTTATATTTCTGGTTTCCAGTGACTGTCTAGTTAAATTCAGTCTGTGATAAAAACTATAACATTCAAAACTCCTCATGAACCCTCTAAAGTTAAGATAATCATGTGCTCGTCAGTACCTAGTTCACTGGAGTTCTAGTGATGATCTTTACTAAACTATGTCTCTTATTGATAACTCCTCATAAAAGTGAATTATTTGCGATGGTTCCCGTGCATGAAGTGAAATGTAAAATAAATCCACAAGCCATTAGACTAGGTTTCCTTTTTTAGTAAACTGAAAGGGTTATTTTTAAAACGTTAAATGTAGAAATAAACGTGATTAGTTTTTATAACCGACTGAAGAATATAAGTTTTGTCGATCACTCATTTGCTAATTAGTTTAATACTGACTGTTAAGCTTAGCTTGAATTCCGGTATATCAGTGATTTGTAGAAATGTAATTACCTAACTCACTAGCAAAAATTATATCCAGCTTCTCAGTGTTATTCATTAAAACGAATCGAACCATAACACCTTGAATAATTTGTATTTAGTATGTCGATCAGCTGCTTGTCACACAGGGGCATATTCTCTTTGGTCAGTGAATATACATATACGCGTCCATAGTCCGTCTGCTCTTCATTTGTACATATGATGATATGCTCAGTGAAATCGAAGTTGTGGAGCAAAACGTTTGTTTCTGAATATCTGCATTCTAAGTATACAGATCATTGTTCCAATTCACTGAGTTGTTCCTTAATCACGATACCTCACAGTCTTCTGTATATCTTCAAGCGACATGCTAGGTAAAATCTGTTGTTATATATAGTTGACAATGATCCAAAACCCATTGAAAATTTCTTTATTTAACCTGATTGAACTTGGCTGATACGTATATATATTAGTGCAGCGATGGTTTATTTGTGTTAAAACGCTCATTTTCCTAGCATTAGATGGGACGTGCAAATTTTGTTTCATATACTTTAGGTAGCCGAGTGATATTTATTAACCAGGATAGTGTATTTACGGTTTTGATTCAAATCCCAAAATGCGTAAATCTGTATTTAGCAAATATTTTGCATTATACATTAATCTAATTAGTAGAATGATACTTAGTTCATATGAATTTTCTACTTTATATAACAGCCGTGCTTATACATTAAGTCGTTGTTTTCATTCATCATTATGTGAAGGCAGTTAGATTTCATCAAGACATATGAAAATAGTAAATCAAAAAAGTCAATTGAGTGATATGCCTTTTATTGTATTGTAACTCATCAATTACATATTTATTTACTCTATTGTCATTCATATATTATATCATGGGTAATGGTATTACGTAGTGACTTTCCAAACCAAAGTAGTGAAACTTCATCAGTTGAGATGGCTGGGACACCTGTTACGTATGCCCAACTACCGACTTCCTCGACGTGCGATGTTCAGTGGTATAGGAGTAGGTTGGAAGAAAGCTAGGGACGGCCAGACCAAAACATGGCATAAGTCCATGAAGTCACTGACAAGTGGACTGAGTCATGTTGGTAGGTGTAGACTACCTGGTTGGGGACCGCGAGATGATAGCAACCGATGGTTAGAAACCCTGAATGACATGGCTCAAAATCGTTTGCAATGGCGCAGGTGCATCCACTCTTTGTGTTCTCCCAAATTTTGATCTCCTTATTCCTCCTTGTCTCTTTTTTTTCTCTCTTCCTAAATTTATTTCACGGTATTATACTCTTTAAATAACATCTCTAAACACTAATTTTCCCGATTACTGCTTATACTCTTATTACATCTACCACTACGGGATTTGAATCGACCACTGCATCTCTGTGCTAATGTGGTGTGGCAACTCGAACTGATGTACGTACGTACTAAGTTCTACGTTAATACTGACTGACTGACTGAAACAGGGTTCAAAACTCTAACCTTTTTGGTTGAAAGTCAATTTCCTTAATTACTGAAACGCCAATCCACAATACAACATAAACCACTTGGCTATTTTAATGTTATACATTTCTATTATGTATATTATATTATATATATATATATATATATATATATATATATATATATATATATATACCGATTACACTGTATATTTGTTTTAATGAACATAATTAAGGTTTTAGAATGTGCCTGGGAAAATCTTGTCAAACAAGTACATTCCGCTCAAGATTTAAGTGACGTTATTAAAGCCCATCAAGCGTTCTTATCCAATGTATTTACAAGATGTCTATTAGATGCTGAGTCACGTCAACTTCTTGGTCAATTACGAGCGATATTTAATTCAATCTTAGATTATGCTCAGTTACATCAAGATTTTAATATAACTGCCATGCATGAGAATGGTATACGTGAAAAATATGCATCTGAGGTTAGTTTGAATAATTTGCATTAATTTTTATGCACTAGTGTTTATATTAGTTGTTAACCTTTTTACTAGAGAACAATTAATAATTCAACATGGTTGAACCCTAAATTTATTGTCCGAGCACAAAGTCGTAAAGCCGTTTTGGTTCCTGCAGCAAATGGAGGGAGTCGAAAAACATCGACCTTAAAAAATAGTATATCCCATCTTACCTATGGTTATAAAACCTTATAAACACATAGCTAATATATCGAAAATTACTCATAAAAAGACTACATATTACTGGGATCAAACAACTGTTCACTGATCACTGCGGTCATTCTTCCTGTTTGCGGAGACCACCCTTAACCTAGTTTCTTTTCATGTCCCTCAACAAGAAATATCTTCACGCTGTCTAGGTAACTGGAGTGTTGCAATCGCCCTCACACCTCTAACGACACTTGAGATCACCTCAATTATAAAATATTGGATGATTTATTAGTTCCTAAGAGATTTGATAATATGTTTTTGAATGCACTATTTGTTCACAGTTGAACAACCGAATGAACAATTCTGAAATGAAACATCGGGTACTAGGTCAAAAGGCTATAAAATTTCATCGACTGATAGTATGTGGATTGTTGACTAACATAGAAAGAATAGACAGTTTAGACAACAGTTAGAAGCGGGCTGATCAAGGCATAACTTCAATCCACGAAATTATAAGTTTCGTGTCTCAGCGATTTCTTTAGGTGGTCACTCTTGCAATAATCGAATTCATCGGTTTTAGATGTTGCGTAACATAATGCACATTTGCTTGTTTTGATCTTTTTTACATAGTTCCTTTGAATGATAAGTTGGCGTGTTATCCCATAATTAGATATTCATTCCAATCCATATTGATTTCTTCTTTGTGGCTCTCATTTTGTCAACTCTCTCTCTATATGCTGATGTAAGGTTTGACTGCCTGGACTGCATTACACATTCATGCCAAATCCTACGTTGACGATGACTGACTGTAAACGAAACGGCTAACTGTTTTGTACTGTCCACTTTTCATTTATTCACTAAGTGAATTTAATTGAAATGTTAACTCAAATTCATACGAAAACCTTCAACTTGTTATTTATACATTTAAGTAATGATAACAATAGATGTTATATTTATTTTTATAAATATTTTATCACTATTCAACAATCAAAAATAGGTACAACGCGCTGAACGGACTGGTCATTGGGGTACTGATCGATTACGAGAAGAACAAGAGTCATTTAGACGTAAAGAATTTGTCGATAGTAAACTTGCTCATTTACAAGCTCGAATTCGTATTCAAGCTGCTGCATATCGTGTAAGTCTTACAATTTATTCAAGTCTTATTTTACTAGATAGTCCTTACGAATCATACATACCACAATGTTCTGACTTCACAAACATAATAAAGCACCAAAAATGTATCAAACGTTTTTTTTTACAAAGATATCCAAAACGTTACGGTTATTTTAAGATTTTTGAATTTAAATACACACTTTTACTCGCCTTTAATCTGTATATGTATATTACGCTGCACAACTTTAATTCTTCCATCATTGGCTAATTCGTCTTATTACACGTTGATTTTTCTGGTGTTTTCTAGAGTTATTTAAAACTACATATATCGAATGAGTCTCACGAGTAAAAAGTTTTCTCATTCACTGAGTTGGTTAAGATTGCCTAGTCACTAATAGCTGGTTAGGAAAAAGCCAGAGACAAACACATCAAAGGTGGTATCCGTCTTTTTGATTCGTTGACTGTTTATGTTGGAATAAACAGTCCCTCTGGTGTGTGGGTTCACATGCTAATCTTAACTTATGATTGAATATATATATATATATATATATATATATCGGTAGTAGTAGAACATTAGTCCGTTCAGTTTTTGTTTTATTATCCTCCCAATTTCCAATGCCATTTCATACTCTACCTTCATATACTTCATTTTTGCATCTTTTAAATTATTCTTACCAATACTTGATTTCTTTGATCCTTGCCTATTTCTTCCCACGCTTCTATCTCACTATTCATATATAAGTATTTCTAACTACGAGAGGTGACGTTTAGTGATGTAGAAGAGGTTGAAAAATGTCTAAACGCTATCAGACGACGATATAGTATAAATCTATTAAGTCAGTGACTGTTGGTTTGAGCTATGTTGATAGATTTAAGCTACTTGGTTAGAGTTCACACGATGACCGGAACCAGTGGTTGGAGACGATGGATGACATAATTTGAAATCAGTCACAATGGCACAGATGCATTTACTCATTGACTTACTCTACATCTGAACTTGTCCTAATTGTTCGTGTACACGTTTTCTTCCTGTCTTTTGAACCAGACTCTTAATGTCCTCAGTCTTTTACATTGTCCATTAGTTTTCTTTATAAATCTTGGTAGTGTAGTGAGACAATGGAGTTGATTTGAACAATGTGATTTATTCTCGTTATACATATCGAACAGTCTAATCATTATCATTCCTACTACGTTGTTTCGATTTGTCCACCATTTATCCTGTTAATTTCCTCTCGTTGTGCTAATATGGTAAGGCGACTTAGGCTAACGTTCTTATTTTCCAAGCTCTGTTTAGTCAATAACGACTTACATATGTCAGTACATATAACTTTCCAATTGAGTTATATTTTAATTAATTTATGTTGTTATAGTGATAATCTGTGTTTTCAATTAACACATTTATGTTAATTGTGTCCATAGTCACCTGTCTTACTTCTCTATTAAGGAATTTCGATGTATTTCCTTTGTTTTTCAGGCTAATCTTATCAAGTTCATCGATATGTTGTCAAATCATACAGATCCTAGTTTACGTTTATTAGCAGAACATATAAATTTCAATGGACATTATTGTACTTCAACACCTGGTTCATCTTGTACCACTAGTGGATCAATAACATCCGGTTATCCTTCACTAATACATCATCATCAAAAATATCAACCGACACATCATCAACAACAACGCATACAATCACTTTCATCAACACCACCGCCTCTGCCATCGTCATCAACTCAACCTACATCACAACAAGAAGAACAAAACAAGACTAAATACAGTAATATAATCATCTTAAAAAGTGCATTACCATATTCTGGTTCTGTAACACCAAGTTCACCATCATCATCATTAACAATTGGTTCAAAACAAACAGAATCCGGTGTATCACATTTAAGTGATATAGAATGTAGAAAAAATTCCAGTGCATCTGATGAATATAGAGAATTCACTTTACATCCGAAATAGACAAAAAATATAATTGAACAAGAAAAACAAAACAAACTATGTAGATCTGAGCCATTTACTATTCCTATTGTTTTTTATTATTATTATTATGTAATGTAACTACATTTTTATTCTATCCTTATTTTCATTTTCCCCCTCTTTATGAACTTGCTCAAACCTAACAAAATATATCATTGATGTCAATGATATATATTCGCTCATTGTTACCATAATAGTTTTATTTTACAATTCCATACATATGTATGTATGTATATGTATATACATGTTTCCCTTATATGTGTATAATTGTTTGTTCGTGTAGATCAATATTTGCATCTCTTTCTTCTTTTGTCCTTCTCAATAATTCCATCCAATATAGATGGTTGTTCTCTATGTCTTTATTTAATTTATTTAAATATTTGTTTGACTAATTATGTCAATTAACAAGTATTATTTTAAAATAAATAATTAAAGTCATAGAGTACCGCTTCATTATCAGTTAGATATTACGTGTAGTTAGTCAACAACAACAACGAAAAAAAAGAGAAAAAAAAGGGGGGCAACCGGTTTTTATTCATTTCCAATGGTTTTATTGTCTTACATAATTAGTTTTATTTTGAATTCTTTCCGTTATATTAGATGTTCGTTAAAATAATTCTATCCGTTAAAATTAATAATGAATAAAATTGATAATTCTTGCAAATTGAACGCTATATTCGTTTTCTAAGCTATTCTGCAACTCCCAAGCTAGGACTATACAGCGACCTGAACAACGAGAGAGAAGACGCAAAGTATGCGAGAAGTACTTTACTTCAAGGTCCATTTTAAAACAGAAAATATAAGGTTTTTAAATGTCCTTGGGCTATTCGAAGATTCTAGAATGTTACTAAACATAGTAGCAGTATAACAATCAACTAATCAGAACCTCTACATGTGACGTTTCACTTCCTTGATATTTTTGGCTAAAACTCCAAGTGAACGCTGAGTGGATGAGACGCTTCTTAGTGTTTCCTGACCCTTACTTGTCTTTTGCAAGAAAATTTCTGGAACACTCCAACAAAAATCTATCTTCATATTATTAGACTATAATTGAAATGTCTTATTAGGATGTAATTTTTAATTATTAAGCTGTTTGTGGTTTGAATAATGTATGATGTTTGTTTTTAAAATTTGATGTGTTCTTGTTTGTGTTTTGTTCGGTTGTTTTCCGTGATAATTTTTTAAAAATTATTATCTACTAGTGACTGTTACTTATTAACATGGGCTATAGGTTGCTGACTAAAATTCTCTAAACAACTTTGTCCTGAACTCTCTATTTTAATTGTTGCCATATAACTAATTATTCTTTTGATATCTACTTCCAGTTCCTGGTGCTATGTGTTTTTTGGTCTGTATCTTTTCTTTTAAAATTGAAGATTCTATGTTGAGGCTTGCTTTATGATGTTCTAGTGTGTTGCATTTAAAATTGGAGTAGTAGTTAATCACTATCACAATAATCTATGAGTCTAACCTTCTCTGTAATCTTGAACTAGTTAAAATTGGGTTCATGCGAGTTATTATTGATTGAAGGTTTGATATGTTGTGTTATTGGTTACATTGGTCTCGTTAAAAACTTATTATATTGTGTATCCCATAATAAATAGTGAATTATTTACGTCGCCGAGTGAATTAATATGTAATAACAACTAAATGTTTACATTAGACCAGTAAAAACATGTAACAAATAATGATCGGTTTAGTAACGTTACTTCAGCTAAACACAATTTCTGTCGAGATTTTATCTGTACAATTTTCGCGATATCAAAACTATAATCGTTTGTCATCGTATAATAATACAATGTAAATTCTGCTAACTTGTATTACTATATACTAAATATGAAAGCCACTTATTGTTTTCATAATCCTGGTTAATCCAAAAGACAAATTTCCATTCAGAAAATTTATTTAGAGAAGTCAAATTAAATTGATTCAAATATGCATGAATTGTGTGTAAAACAATTTACGTTAGCAATAATGCACAAGAATAGAAGGATATTCAACAATGAAAAAATATTCTGATTCATGCTAAATTTTTGAGCGAGAAAAAAGGAAATTTAAACCTGAAGAAAGTTAGTAAGGGAATAGTTTTGAAAAAAATTTAAACATCTCTAACGTAATAAAGATGTTGATGTATAAACTGTACACCGTAAATAGTTCTCGTTTCATGGCCTTAGAGTTTAAATGTCATTAATCTGAGAAAATGTTTCATGATGAGAAGTTGTACAAGTGAGATATAGATTATTATCAGAATGAGTTTTGTGGAGATTTTAGTAAATTTCACAGGTTGAAATCATGAGTCAGTTGAATCTAGACCACCATTGAAAACCTGGTGGTCTAGCTTCAACTGACTCATGATTTCAACCTGTGAAATTTACTAAAATCACAAAACTCATTCTGATAATAATCAACTGCTCACTAGTGACTGACTTCAGGAGAACCTCCTGGAGTTCTAGTGAGAAGCCGTCACCAGTGGAGTTCAACCAGGTCTGTTGTGAGATATCAGCTCACTGAAGACATTGGTGTTCGATGGCGCAACTTCGTGGATGGGTTGAAGTTAGACATTAACACCGTTGGATGCCGGCTCAGTGGTCTGATGGTTAAGTTCTCGCGCGCGAAACCAGTAGATCCTGGGTTCGAATCCCGCAGGGGGCGGGTTCGTGGATGCGCACTGCTGAGGAGTCCCATACTAGGACGAAACGGCCGTCCAGTGCTTCCAGGTTTTCAATGGTGGTCTAGCTTCAACTGACTCATGATTTCAACGTGTGAGATATAGATTAGTCACTTTGTAATCCGCTAGATTTACCTGGAACGTGTAAATACGCAACGTACATATTCTTTTATCAAAACTAAATTTTACAATAACTATTTGGCATAGTTCATTTTAACTCGGTATCCAATCTATCATGTGTTCTTGGTTTATTTAAGAGAACACATTAAATAAGCACAAGTCAACTGTTACGCAAGTTAGTTCCACAATGCCGATTGAATAATCAATGCTAGCCACCTTTGACCTGAAGGAATTGCTGCTGGCAAGTCGGCATTCAGCAGCTGGGTTTTTTTTTTAAGGTTATATTACATTCACCATCACAGATTATTTTACTTATGATTTAGTGTTTTTCACAGGAGCGATGCAAAATATGAAATGGACAGTAGAATAACACATATAACTCTATACTAAGTATATATTCTAACAAATAGCAAATGTTTTTAAAAATAGACTTATTAGTCGTTGTAAACAAAGCATCTATATAGAATACACCGCATAAAGTAATTAAACATGAAAACAACGTGACAAGGTCAAAACAACACATCAAGATGCCTTACTATCTAAGACGTGATTGAAAGTATAACTCATACTATTTATTAATAATAAGTATTATCACATAAAAAGTGATCTTCTTGGATTACAAAATTAAGTTTCGTAATAAGGTATGGATAATTTGCGAAAAAAAAAATGAATATGATCGTAAAAAAGCAGATTAGTACAATATATTAGTTATACGAAATTAATGATGAGTGGTATGATTTTAAAACTAAAGGGTGTTGTGATCAATTATTTATCAAACTGTAGGATCTGAATATCGATTTATATCTCGTCACGTGTTTGTGCTTTTGTCGAAAGGTAATACGTGGTTTGTTTTTTTTTTTACTCATATATGTTAATGATTTCGAAGATAATTTAATATAATTCAGAACACTAACCGATCTAAATCAGACTACTGAAAACCTGGAAGTACTAAACAACTGGTTCGCTCTTGTAAGGGACTCCCTCAGAATTGCGTATCCATGACTATGCTGTCAGGAATCGAACTTACCTTATGGTCTCGTGTGCGAACTCTTAACCTTCATACTACTGTTTTGATTGGTGAGTAGCTCTGAGTAGAAATTTCAGATGTTTTGATGAGTAGCCGTGACCAGTAGAGTTCAACTATGTAGAGTATCAGGAAGGTACTCATTGAAGACAGTGGAAGTTAACTGCTCAATATCGTGGATTGGTTGGACTTAGACCTTTACATCATTGGATTATGGTCTACCAGTCCAGAAGTTAAGCGTTCATGTGTGAGACAAAACGTCATGGGTTTAATCCCAGGTAGCGGTGTAATGAATACACACTGCCGAGGAGTTCATGACAAAAACGAAATAGATGTCTAGTGTTTTCAGTAGTTTTCTAGCGTATGCTCGTCTTTTCAATAAGGTCCAACATTCTCCATAACCCCATAATGGTGTTAATTGAATAGACAAACAGTACCCTTTTACTTTAAATAGCAATCTTTTAAGTTGTACATCTAGTTCTTCATTTAATATGTAGGTAATAGGTCATTCCATGTGATCAGGGTGTTCAGTGTTAATTAGAACCTAATAGTAATTCGGTGTTGAATAGGGGGCATTAGCATTTTCCGCCTATTCGCTGGTTAGTGTATGCTAAACGTGTACTATGAATATAACTAATTATGATCTGATTAATTCAGAATACGAGGAGTCAACTTCGATGGCTAATAATATAGAAAAATTTAGATGAACATTTGTTCCCTGATCTAGTCAGTTTAGTCGTATAGCTTTCATTGTCTTTGTAGACAGTATCATCAGCACACACTTCATCTAGAAGTGAGCTATTCGAATTTCTCTTTATATGACTGACAGTTCGTTCTCTCGTTTTGAATTAAATTAATTACTGTTGATACTTGTTCTGTCGTTGTCTGAGTATTCATTTTGATTGCCCTCTCATTCCACCCTACTTTCTACCCTATGGTTGTTTATAACTTTTCTAATTGGACGGTAAATTGAATCGCTCTCGGTGCGTTTAGTGATTGTTTATTTGCCCGAGTGTCAAGTATAAAAAATTCTCTCAGATTTTGTACTTAGTCTCTCCATAATCTTAACATTTTCATATGAACAAAGCTGAATTGGGCTACTAGTGATGGTGTCTAGGGAGAAAACTTCACGCATTCACCATCTACTTCAGAAAATGTAACTCCATCAAAACTACTTTCTTGAGCTGGAAATATAAACCATCTCAATTTAAAAACAGTGTAATAAAGAATACTTTTCAGCAGTGCCTCCGTTATTCATTACTTCCTGTTAATCGACTTTGGTGTAACAGCCTTTGATGATATTATACCATTTAAATATCTAATAGTCACAAATAAATATCTGATTTGTAGATAGTTATTTCTGCATTATATAACTTAATCACGGAGACATATTATAGGATGTTTGTGAACTGTAATAGATACACACAGAGAGTTATTACTGGAATTAACATTAAGTGTTTACACATCTGAGGTTCGTTGGACATAACGATATACTAATGAATAAAATAAATAGTTAAAATACTACCATGATTAGTATCAAATCAAACGAAAATCTAACACACATTCTATTTATCATGAATTCAGCTTCTATATGCCCATTTATAGGATCGCTTAATTATTGACGCTAATAATATTGATAACCCTAGCTTAACTGACGACCATCAACCATTGGATATCTTAGTGCTGATTAGTTCACGCAGATTCTTCTACAAACCAACACCCAGTCAGAAATGAATACCGTAATTCGATTTATCTCCTGTTATTTATGTATTATTCTAAATCAAAACTCGTATGACATGCATAGCTTGCAAGGCCACAACTCACCACCAGCAGGAAACCACAACCTATTCATATTCATTTGATTTGTGATAAAAAACAGTATAATACGTGCATAGATAGTTAACGGTACTTTATTAGCATTAAAATATGTACGAAAGCTTACAATTAGAAAAAGCGTATACTAAAATATTTAATACATGTACAATAAGAATAGATAAAAAATATTCCTAAGAATAGTTCTATAAGTTCCACCTTTATCCATTATTTACTCACTAACAAAATCTTCACCTTAAAACTAATATGAAATGGAGACCGAAACATTTGAAATCAATAATGAGCACAATACTACCAAAGCAATGATGTACAACTGAATGCCTCATTATTTTCGTTTTCAATCCATTGGTGATATACAACATAACCTTAATCTGGCATCATCATTGAATAACCAGTTTTCTTAATTGAACACAGGTTACAGCTTAGCCACACAGTATCGATCAGCAGGTCCTTCATATTAGTGTCACTATACCTCCATATCATTGTTTTCTATAGACTATGTTGAAATACGCTAAAGTTGATGTAAGGTGGTTGAAAGTAATAGGGAGAAAACCTTATCAGCCTCTTTCGAAGCAACTCATCAATTAGGTCGCTAGCTGTAAAACCGAGTGAATCAAGACCGAATCCACTGAGATCACTCATCGGCTATGACTTACAGATCAACCAATGTATATACTAGCCTTATTTTGATAATTTCCTAGTTTCCTTCTTCATCAATACAAAACTAATGAAAGAAATCAATTAATCCAAAGAGACCAAACCAACAAAAAAACAATCAATCCCGACCATTCGAAACGTCATGAAGGTATTATTTTTGGCCGTGATAATGGTCCGGAAGGTGTGTATATTTTGGTAGATGTGAATCTATACTTGAGGCACAAGCAACAGTAAAAAAACAACGTAGTAAACGAAAACTCAGGTGATGAAAACTAATTTATTGTTTAATGCAAAACCACACAGTGACTTAGTAAATATGAAAATCATACATTAAATGCATCATTCGAACATCTTCTTGAGTTGTCCTTTACATACTCGACTGTTCCTCTAATGCTGTTGTCTTTTCATTTGCTCTCTGATTTTCTTTCTGTTTGCTCCATTTCAATCACAGTGATATTACAGATTTGAGTAGTGATAATAATGGGGCGAACGGTGACGTTTGAGACCATCATATAAAGGATTACTATTTATATTTTCATCGTGGAATTGAGTATTTGGACTGTTGTATTTCTATATTCTCATATTCCTAAGCTTTCGTTTGATCCATAAATCTTTGTTATATCTTAATGTTCCAAATTTATTATTAGTTAATTATTCATGTGTCACTTATGACTTTTGTGCATATTATAAATTTCTGATTATGTTGTTGTGTGGCCAGAAATTCCAAGGAATTTGTTGTATGAGTTTTAAGTAATAATCGAATTAAATGTAATCGATAACTGATCTACCCTCTGATTCGTCAACAGAGCTCGAGGACCGGTAAGGGTGAACGTATTCGTTATTGTTCATTGATCGGTGTGTCAATAATTGGTAAATAGAATACAGGTGCTACTGGCAGCATAGGTGAACTAATCAACAATGTGATTAGAGAGAGAAGTCAAAAAATTGCTTTCTTATCTTTACTGCCCGATCATATGGGACCCAAAACAAGTAAACCAAGGAAAATAATAGGTTATTTTCTTCTAAGACAACACAAGCTTAAATAGTGAAACGGAAACAATCCGTTTCCGGATCAGCATCAACCGAAGAACCACTGAAAATTAAGTTTGTGGGTGACTAACTTTAAGATGGATTCTCAAAAGTTTTAACTGATATAGCTCACCAATTTCAAGTTTGATACAAGTTTAGTCGAAGGCGTTAGACTATAATCGATGTACATTACATTCTCATTCATTGAATATTTGAAGATCAAGTACCTAACACATATTAAACATAAAACATACAAATCGACTGTTGTCGTCACTGGTATATATCTTAATTAAATACAATTCATTTGACTTTCGCTTGGTCTGTTTCGAGTTATTGTTTGTAATGGCACATAATCAACGGAGATACAAATGTAACTTTCATTCAGTGTTAGTGTATTTTCACCTGATATTTTTAAGCTTCTAGAATAAGGTTAAACACATACTATAGATAAGAAAAGCTGTGTAATTCATCCTAGTATGCCTGACGCTGAGGAAAGTTCGTTCAACATCTGATACAGTCCTACGTTTATAGCCTTCAGAAAAGAAACCCAGATCACCGCCTTCACGTCAAAGGGAGTGTTTTGTGGAGGGTTGAAAAGCGGACATCCTGAACTTGAATAGAGTAAATGGATATGAATAGTGAATCAGGGATAATCGAAAATTCTATTTACAAACCAATGATGTGGATGGATTTTCGGACTTTTTCGTCTCATTTTGCTATACTGTTTTGTGCATTACACGTTGAAAAACTAGGAGGAAAACAGTAGTGCAATACATCCTGTTTTTTTAATTACTTCAGTCTATATCAATTCTCAATAAAAGATTTCAAGTGGAATTGAAAGCCATCTTCATTGATAATAAGGAGCATAAACTCGCTAGTGGAAGCTGAGGTAAATTTCCCAATATTTATGTTGGAATTCGTGTTAACGGTTGTGACGACGGACCACGGGTGAACTCGAGGAAGTTGTAGGAGGCTCAGAAGGAACCGAAGATATTCCATCCAACCACCTTTCGGAAGAATGTTCTACAATTCCAACGTGTAGCTTCCCGATTGGATAATGCGAATAACCCCCTGTATGCTGATTGGTGAACTGTAATGATGATTTTGTTCTTACTAAAAACTATAAATACCTGACAATTTTGTACCATAATTGACACTATCTGGGAATAATATTCCTTTCATTAGACTTTTGTCTTCTTATTGCGACCTGGAAGGGTTCTGGCGTTCTAGTGCTCACGTTATACGCGGTATGTCAAGAACAACCTTCTAGATATAACAACAGTAGATTTAACTAAATCAGTGGCGGTCAGAGTCACTTATTAATGATGTATAAAATAATATTAGTATTAAACCATAAATTAGGCGAAATTGCGAACATAAAACACTGAATTCTAAATTGTTAAGTTTAATGCTATTAACGTTCATTAAAACATCTATAAGTTATAGGATTCAATCTCTTCAAAAGTAACAAGTATGTATTATTGTTGAAAAGTTACATCCACTGAAATTAAACATGTCTAAATGTGTTTTGTTGGACATTTAAAATAATATTTCAGTGGATCTCAATACATAGTTAAAATGATCTATAAATTAAAGAATCTTATTATTATATTTCAATGAAGTAACCGACTTTTATCAGATGATTGAATAATCAAACACTCAATTCATTTTATTTTTCATAGCAAACATTAGTATTAATCCATCAAATTATATGATATAATAATAAAGTATATACTACTGAAAAGAAACATAACATGAAAATTACACATAATGAATTATTAGTATGTTTAATTGCTTACTTGTTGATATAAGTAATTTACACTTCTTCAATACACATATTTATAGTATAAATGTGTCAATAATTCATTAACCAATTAAAAGAAAACATAATTGAACATTGAATATGTAATCCAAGACAAAGTATAACATTATGTAACTAAATAAAAATAGGAAACAACAATGAAGTGCATAATAGTAATTTAAAAGGTAAAACAAAAACAATTGTTTTTCTAAAATAAAACAAATTGAGAAAGAAAAGATGAGATAGAAAACAGAGTACAATTTCTTGTATAACATTCAACTAACCCACGCTTAGATATTAAAAAAAAGAAAAGAAAACAATTGACAAAACAATGAAATAAAATCGAAAAAGAAAGAACAAGAAACAGATAATTTGAAAAGACAAATTGTTATTTGTCACTACCTTTCTGAGAACACAGTAACAATATCATTGCGTCATCATCATCATCACCAAAGGTGATAACACAATGTGAACATGATAAAAGACAAATGTCATTAAAATTTACAGTAAGAAAACAAAAAGGGGAAACTTTAAAAACAAAAACTATTAGCAACAACGTACTGGGGGAGAGAACAAACCAGATCACAGCGGAGGAAGAAATCAGGAAGAAGCACTGAGAGTGGATAGGACACACATTGAGGAAAGCACCCAACTGCGTCACAAGACAAGCCCTCACATGAATCCTCAAGGCCAAAGGAAAAGAGGAAGACCAAAGAACACATTACGCCGAGAAATGGAAATAGACATGAGAAAAATGAACAAGAATTGGATGGAACTAGAAAAGAAGGCAGAGGACAGAGTGGGTTGGAGAATGCTGGTCGGCGGCCTATGCTCCATTGGGAGTAACAGGTGTAAGTAAGTAAGTAAAAACAAAAAAAGAATCATAATGAATTTTTTCTTCCAATAAAAATACTAAAAAATACCAAGTGTATTCTCTTTATCTATTTGTAAAAATAAAATTATTTCTAGATTTGTTACTATAATACACTGGACAAATAAGTAGAATTTACACAAGGGACAAAACATATAGAATACATGTAAAGTGATATCTTATTTGCACTTTTACCTGTATATATGTGTATTATAACAGAAGTAAAGAAGGACATAATTTTAAAAAGTGAAGGTGTAATTTCTAGTTTTGCAACATTTTCATTTTAATACAACATTGTCATCATCATAATGATAATGATGTTTATTATTTGATCCAATCAATTGTGAACAAGTGAAAAGAAAAGATTTACATCACTGTGATTAGTTATTGATTTGTTTTATGAGAGAAACTTGAAGATTTGAAAAACAAACTGTAAAATACATTATTATTATTCTTAACACACAACCATTATTCCTACTTTTATGAATGATATAACACAATAGTAGGATTTTCTAATTATACTCAGAAGAATCTTGTTCAGAATAAAATTTGATCTTTAATAGTTATTGGTGCTGTTATTAATCTTGGCTCTGTTGCTGCACGGGAAACATGAGACGTTTTGAACGCATATAGCTGATCATTGGTAAACGATTTAAGGTGGAACGAACAGATTCACTTAATTTAGAACGTTTATTGATTTCTAACAATTTCAAATCAGCTTCTACTAATAATGAGGGTGGTTTTATTGTTGTTATCGGTGGAGGAATAGTGAAAACTGATAGTTCAGCTTCCAAATCTATGGGATAAAAATAAGAATGAAGGTTTTTTGAATAGAACTGGATAAATTCTACAAACATTCGCATCACTATGAAGTTTGTACAAGATATCATATCATAGATAGCAATAATGACATCAAGTAAATACTGCGTAAAGAAAAATGACTACTAGAGAATTATTCTTTTATCAAATATGCAGTGATGTATTGCTTCAGGCAGTTAGGTTTCAATCAGTAAACCATAGGTTCAAAACCCGCCAAATTCGATTTCATTGCTGTGCTGGATTCAAATGGAGTTATGTGTCATTTGTGTACGCTTCACCTCCCGGTATTATTCTTATTGTACAGAGGTAACTCAGTGATTAAAACATTTGACATCCAGCCACTAAGTTGCAGGTTCCAATCCCGCTTCATTCTACTTTAGCCTGGGGAACTGAGTAGTATCATTATACCTCCATATATATAAGCAAACACACTTAGAGTGTAGCTTGAAGTCGAATATACGGATCTGTATCTGGTAAATAAGTTAACAAGTAAATAAAAGTATCACTAGTCCTTACAAAAACAGTGTGCCTAAAATTGAAATAAACAAAAACTGTATTTAGTAAATACGTTATATTGCTGTAATTACTACCATTCAACACTAGAAAAATACATGAGACAATCATTACTATCTTGAGAATCTGTTATAACGCTCGGCTTTTCTACACTAGATTCCCTCCCAGTGTCTATTCTACACGACTCCAACACAATTCAGATCAAGAACACATGATTAGCCTGACTAGAACGTAAATGTATTTTCACATCAAAAACCAACAACAGTCAACAATCAGTAATAAGGATAGGAGAATATATAACTCAAGAAGGAACGAATTGAGCGAAGAAATTTCTTGTCAATTAGTTTTTCATCATGGCTCTACACTAATATATGATTTACAATAATGATATAATACTCGTCGAGTGGATACGTTACGTAATAATTACATAATGACTTAAATTAACATTGAATAATTGGAAGAAAGAGGATTATTAATAATCAAACTAATTATTCAAAATCAAGACGTTGCTACGTTGCGTAATATAAGAAAAAGAGAAGGAACAGAATTTTATAACGGATGGTCAATAGAATAGTAGCTACGTAAGAATCAAGAGATGAATGTTTAGGAGTCATAAAGTTCAAAAACAACAAAAACAAAATTACAAAAAAAATTTCTATTTAAAGAAGAAAAATCAAGTGGAAGAAGTATGAAAAATAGTTCTGTTGAAGGAAATCCTATACCGGTGGCCAAGGCAGCGAAAGTGGTTGTACAAATCTCTTTTGAATGCAAAGGTCAGGTTTGTGAACATGGATTGCGATGGCTTCTGCAATGTGCACAAGGAGCACTCGTAAACCCTGTGGCAAATTTGATGGGATATTGTAGATAACCTTAAAAGTTTTATTCAATTCAACGTGATGACCTGTGTCAACCAAGTGAGAGAGAATAGAACTTTTAATCACTTTTACCTGTCCTTTCCTTAAACCCAACGGATGATGTTCTGTAACACTATGACGAACTTGCCGAATTGTACGCCCTATATAACTGGCTCCACAGGAGCAGTTGAACCGATAGATACACATGGATTTGGCGAATTCAGGCAGTCTGTCTTTATTGGCCCTTCTTATTTTGAGGTGTTTGTAGAAGATAGCATCTAATCTGGCTGCATTAAATGTTTTTTGTACAGCCCATCTTAGTTTCTGAGTCACGATTTCTTCAGTGGTGTCATTTATGAATTGCAATTTTATGAACAGGACTTTCTTGGGGACGGTAGGTATCTTTGCCCTTTTTTTCATCGCCATCATGTGTTAGTCGATGAATTTCCTAGGGTACCCATTCGTACTAAGTGAGTTCCGAATATTAACCAATTCATCTTCAATGGTGTCTTCCGAGCAAATCATTCTGCCATGATGAGTCAAGATCTTTATTAAGTTCCTTTTGTATCTGATTGGAACTGCACTATAGAAATGAGTGTATTGTCCTGTTGCAGACTTTCTGTGTACCCCTCTTTTTAAAGTTCCGTCTGTTCTTCTAGTTAGTTGGACATCTAGAAATGATATGCTATTGTTCTGTTCATCTTCTGATGTAAAATTAATTGATGTATGAACGTTATTAAATATATTAAGTAGGTTGTCCTTATCATGTTCTTTTTCTAATACTATGAAAGTATCGTCTGTATAGCGATAATAAGTTGGTAAATGGTTAATTGTGCTTTTAGGTTGTCCATTTTCCAGTTTTGCAAGGAAAATATCCGCCAGTACAGGGTCCAATGGTGTACCATGGCAACTCCATCTAGTTGTCCATAGTATACGTTGTCAAATCTGAATTGGGCATTCACTGTGCACCTAAGAGTTAACTGTTTTATTGCGGATGCGGGAATCGGGGTTTCTATGCCCTTCATTGTTAGTCCATTGCAAATAAAACCTACCGTTCCAAGTAGTGGAATGTTAATGAATGAGAATGATACATCAAGTGATATCATGAAGTTATTCTTGACTGATAGATTTTTTATGTTCTCAAAAACTCAAAGGAATACTTGACACTAGGCTTGACAACTTCTTTGTGTAATGGTTTAAGAATTTGCACCAACCATTTCGCTATAGTATGATACGCTGAGCTATTCATGTCCAAAACTGTCGAAGGGGCAAGCCGCTTTTGTGGATTTTTGGCAGGCCACATATAACTCATCTAACGCCTGTCAGACTATCTACAGGTCTGACTAAGCAAACAACCAATCATTATCATTCTCGCCCACACATCAGAATCATAAGTAAAACTTTCAACAGTTCCTTATAATTCGTTACACAAAGAGAATTTGGCTAAGGTCAAAAAGTAGTTAGTTTCCAACTTTCAGCGATAGGAGTTCTGAATTACAACTAGTCAAAATAACTCATCATTCGTGAACTATAAATCATATTACAGGTTTAAGTGCTAGTAATACAATGCGGATGCTTAAATTTAGTATTTCGAGTAAGGTCAGAATTTACAACCTAGCAGCTGAAACTCCAGCACTCTAATCGATAAGCCACAACTCCAGATAATTTTGTGACACAAGTTAACAAATAGTAGAAAGATTACGGTGGACAAAATTAAACCACCAACTGTTTGCTTGAATAGTTCGCTTGAAGTGTTATTCACTACACTTAACAATATTTGAACAGAATTCATAATTGACCATTTACACCCCAAATGCCATGGTACGATTGACAGAGGAGAGTTTGTTCTATCGCTTGAAATGCTCTCATATGGCCATGCGTATACATCCACTCCATGAAAGTCTTGTCCACTATTTTCTCGCAGCAAGGGTGTTGTTCACGAAACTGGAATGACGAGAAACAAACGTGAAGCTCTTAAACTGGGTCCGTGGGTCATCCGTGCCCACTTAGAAGAGCGAGAAATCACTGATCCCAAACCAATGGTGCACATCGGCTCCAGGATCATGAAGGATTAGATTTCTAGATCAAAAGCTCGAGGAGTGTCCCTCTATGAAAACCACCTGCTTCGGTTTCGGCGCCTGGGCAGTATCCCAGCTCACGCAAGAATTTAACGACTTATTGAGTAGTATATATATATATATATATATATATATATATATATATATATATATAAAGTAAAGATTTCTTATGATCTCCACCCCACACTTCAGGATACTTTGTACGGTTACCATTTTACGACTAGACTATGATATGAAGATCACTAATTTAATACACGTAATAAGTAGACATTTTAACGCAGTTTGTTTTTATTTAACAAAATAAAAGTTCACTTCTTAACTTCAATTAAAGGAATAACATTTCAAGTTATTTTCTGTAATCATCTACCCTTTACAAACACCTTAATGAAATTGATCATATTATGAGTGAATACGGTGAATATGAATGTCAAATGTATTTAATTTTTTAGACAGATAGAAAAATAGACTATTATTTTCTTTGATATAATGAAAAATATGAGAATACTGTATATCTAGACAAGAGTTCAGACAGTTTAGTTACGAAATTCGGAGAAAAAAACTAATCAATGTTTACAGACCTTCTTTTATACACAGAAACGAGAATAGAATCATACAGTTTTTATTTTAGAAACTTGACAATCTGTTTCATATCAGAATTCTCTTTTAAAACACGACATAAGCCATCGGTTGAGTACCACAATGGTAATGTCTGTGACAATGGACGCTAAGTAACTATGGTTTCAAATCACACTAGCAATGTCATTCCCGTAACTATTGCACAAAGCATATATTGAAAAGCGTTAGCTAGAATGAAAACTAGGCTCAGGGCTTACTTCTAACTGTCTTCAGCTGCCCGATATGCTAAATATGATAAGCCCTTCTAGAATAGTGTCCATATTGTAAATTGATCGATAGGATTCAGTCAACACTAAAAGAATACATAAATATGACACAGCTTACTGCTCAGCAATCAATCAGCTTGAAGTAAATAAGGAACCCAAAACTAAGTGGTTTTTTATACACTAGTTTACAATCCAAACATATTGCATGAAGGCCACCCATGTGTTTAAATCTTGGTTAACGATACATAACTTATTTATTTAAAAGCTGAAAATACAGACTACTAAGATATGATTCTATTACCGAACATAGTTGGGAGATCCAAACTCTAGATTATCAAACACATACCTAGTTGATGAAGTTTTGTAGAGATTGGTTTAATTTGCAGGTTACATTTTTCACAAATTGATCCCAGTTAGGGTGCCACTAAGAACTGGGAAGCACTTGTTAGGTGTTTTGTGCCAGTATGGGACTTCTCGATAGTGCGCAGTCACGACACCACCAGGGACTAAACCAAAGATTTTCAGATCTCGTTGTGAACGGTTAACTTTTAGAACTAATGGGTCGGCACTTAATGATACAATTTTAACCTAAACCAGTTTGTGATGTGGCGCGACGATTATTCAGTGCCAACGGTGACTAGTGTACCACCAACATAACTGGACCTAACTAATCACAACGTTGATTTAGAACTTCAGAAACATATTGAAGTCAACGGTGAGCTACTAGGACAGAACAGTTGTCGAGTACTCTTCAGTTTTCAATGATAACCCAACCTACATATATACATTTGACTAATAATACAACAAAATTACCAGTACTTAATGATAAGACATTCTTACGAAAAAAGACTACCTGATAATTCAGAATGTTTAGCCTTCCCATTTGTATGAAGATTAGGTTTATTTTGAGTTTCGCGTGTTTCAAAAAAGTCCAAATCCAGAACTTGATTTATTTTATCTAAAATATGAGAAAGAATAGGATTAAGAAAGATCTACGAAATGATGGAACGCTCAGTTTTATCTACCGGTTTTCTAAAAAAAAGCCATTTTAAAACATCGGAAGACTTAAACAGATTACAATGTATAATTGGTTAGCTAGTGGAATGCATAATTCATTTGTTAAACTTACACTTCTGTTATAATAATATAAATATGTAGTGTTGAAAGAAAATGGTTCGCTCATTTCGACCTTGTTAGTACCATAAGTACATGGTCTATGTAATAGTACAACATTTTAGAGTATGATCTAACCAATAGGGCAAAAATGTGCTGAGCATAATTCCCGTTAGTAATCATTCGGAGTTTATAAAGTAATCCGAAAATTTTAAATGTGATTGATACAATCGATTAGTATAGAGATTGAAATGAACTCCGATCGACAGTATTTAGATACTTGTTAAGGAGATCGTCAAATCTAACTTCAATATACATAGGCTCTATGATAAAGAGAAACATGATGTTCTCCGACTAATGTAACTCATTTACAGTATACAAATTCGTGTAATCGTCTTTGAGGAACATTTTATATATGAGGGCGGAGACACTATCTGGCTCCCCAAACTGCAGAAACCGGAGTAAGGTACGAGCTAGTTACCTAGTAATTTAAAGGTAAACATTGTTTAACTATTAAGTATGTGATAAGATAATATGAAGCATCACAAATTAATAATTTCAGTTGGTTACTGAAATTCTTTGCTGACATAGAAGTTGAAAGAAAGCAAGTGGCGGCTAAACAAAGAGTAACATCAGTCCATAAAGCCACTGAGTGTTGAAATGAGACATGTTGGTAGATTCAGATTACCTGGTTGAGGTCAACACAATTATTTTAACTAATAGTTGAAAACGTTGAATGAGATGGGTCAAAAGTGATTATAATGGTGCAGATCCATTTACTCCTTATTTTACCTTATATCCTGAGTTTTGACACTATCCTACATTTTTTTTCATTCAACGAATCTATTCTTTATTGTCAAATCATATTATCTATGCCTAATCTTTTAGACTACCACTGATAGTAATACTACTTCTGCTGAATTGGCATTTATCTTGATAACTTCATCTCGCTGTGCTAATCAGGTGTGGGAATTTGAACCAAACCACAAAAGTCTTAGGCTCTATGTTGCCTACGACTGACCGATTTCAAAGAAATTGAAGATGGATTAAAATTTGAGAATTTAGTGGACTATAGAACATATTAAAACGATATTATTCACAGGACGATTTCCTAGTCCTTAATATTAAGGAAAAAATTAATAAAGAAATTACTTACTGTCTGTATCGTTGCAATTAGTATTATGCGTTAAACTATTAGATGGAGATTTGTCGTTGAAATTATCTGTCGGCAACAAAACATTTGCATGATTTTCTTGACTAGTTGAACTGTCATTTAATGTGATATTCTTATGCAAATCCTGACTATTCAACCGAACTGGTTCCAGTAGACGAAGTTGACTAGCGAATGCGGGAATCTGTTTTTTTTTTTAAATAGAACATTAAATGATATTAGTAATATTTATAAACTAAATATAATTTGAGTGCTTGGCCTGAGACCCGAAGGTTCTGCCTTCTATCCCTAGAGATGAGCTGGATGAAAATTTCTGAGAAGTCCTATATTTGGTCAAAACACCTCTTCAATTATCTATGGTTTTTAGCCATGCTCCAATTGAGATGAGTTTATGATTATTACATTCTACAGATTAAATACAATTTGTTAATAATGCCAACTAATCTGAAATATTTAGTAGTAAAAGTATTCACTGTTTTTCTAGATGAAATAGATTACAAGAAAACAAACATTCAAATTCTATGAAATTTTATTACATAACTTAGAAAATAAATAGTTTTAATTATTTGTGATTTTATAGGAGAAAGATTCATTACGTTTATAATTTATTTATTTGAACACATAAATATTGGTACAAGAGGGCACCAAATATACATGCGCCACACAAAACAATGGGAATTTGAAGAGGAGAAGGAAAAAAGGTGAGGAGCGTAAAAAAAGCGAATGTCCGGCGCTTTAACCCGATCCAAAACCAACGGTGTACATGGGCTCCAGTATCCTGTGGGAACAAATGGTGTATGAACCAATTTCTTGGTCACCCGGCTACCATGGGACTTCATCTCCTCACGATGCTCCACTGCCTTGTGGGTCAGACCTTTAAGTCAAAGGCTCGGGGTGTGGTCCCCTAAGAAAACCACCTGCTTCGGTCTGGGCACCCAGGCAGGATCACAGCCCATACACAAAAAATGATGAACTGTCTAAAAATGAGGTTCATTACGACAAAAACGTTATGACTTTTATGTCACATTAATAGGATAACTCATATCAATGATTTGATACAACTTAAAATCAACCTGAATAAATATATACACATGAACATATCATTGAATAATTTCAATGGTTAAACAGACTATCCTATTTCGGTATTATATTCCATTTAGTGAATTTAAATATATTTCATTCATTATAATATTTTAAAATACAATCACATAAGAATTAGATGTGTCATCCTTCACTAATCGAGAATTGTTTTACAAAAATGTACTCGGAGAAAAAATAGTAATTTACTAGCCAAACAAGTTGTATCCATGATATAATATCAAGTAAACCAAATCATGGCTGTTATTTAAGAAGCAAGATTTTTTACTACAGGGTATTACGGAAAGTAAATATTAAAAGGTATATCTTCTAAAAGTAGGTTCTCGACATTTTTAACACTTCCGATATCGTTTTTTTTTCTTAAATTTAAATAGAAGTCATGGTTGAATCACACTGTCAGACGATTAGATTAGAGCTCGGTCAACAGAATTCGACTAGCAGTAACGTTTAAGGGAAAATGATATTAGTGACTATTAAATGATCAATTACAATAAACATTTCAGTCGTAAAGAAAGTTAGTAGCTGTCTAAATAGCTTAGTGAGGCAGCCAAACGAAGATGTGTGATCAAACTATAAAGACACTGACATTTGGTTCGGGCTATGATGATATATGTAAGCCACTTGATACAAGTTCTCACGATGATCGGAACCAGTGGTTGGAGACGATGGATGACATAATTCGAAGTCAGTCACAATGGGACAGATGCATTTACTCATTGACTTACTCTACATCTGAACTTGTCCTAATTGTTCGTGTACACGTTTTCTTCCTGTCTTTTGAACCAGACTCTTAATGTCCTCAGTCTTTTACATTGTCCATTAGTTTTCTTTATAAATCTTGGTAGTGTAGTGAGACAATGGAGTTGATTTGAACAATGTGATTTATTCTCGTTATACATATCGAACAGTCTAATCATTATCATTCCTACTACGTTGTTTCGATTTATCCACCATTTATCCTGTTAATTTCCTCTCGTTGTGCTAATATGGTAGGGCGACTTAGGCTAACGTTCATATGTGTCAGACTCTATATTGATTGCGACTGAGTGACCAATAGTTCGGTGGGAAAGTCTCTGACTGCGGCATTAGGTAGCCACGTACTACACTGTTCTTTCAAAATTCGCAAATTTATCACATAAAGAACCATCCAGCAACATCATGCAAAGCAAGATTTCATTGTTCACAAAAAATGTAGATAATAAGTTTAAGCCAACATTTCTAAACATGCATTGAAATTTATTGATGACTATGAAATTATAAATAACAGGAGTGAATCTAGAATAAACAGACTATGATTAGTAACAGGATCCAAGGGACGCATGTTTCCTTCTAGTTGGAACTCGCCAACTGAATGTACTTGTAATATATTAGTATTGAAATTCGCACTAAGACCTAAGTCCACTACACTTCAATTCAAACTCCAACGCATTATTCACTAAGTTATAGAGTTCAAATAGCCACTACATTGTTCAACAACTATGATAGTTAGATCATTATTAGTAGAGGTTCGAATTATCCCTCCTGTATTGAAATTCAGGGCTACAACTTGATCAGTTAGACTCTTTCTAAATAAGAATATAATAAGAATATTGAAATAGAAAAACACTAATTAAAACTAGTTACATTATTTAACATTTCATAGTGATATAAACTATGTAAATTTGTGAATTTTCTCAGTAAATAATAGTAATTATATTCTTTTAAGTTTCTTTCTATTATTCATTAAAACTTGTTGAGTTGCTAAGGAATAACAAATTAAGTAACATGTAATGAATGTTTAATCATTGATCAAATATTATTATTTCACTATTTGTTTGAATGATTATTGATTTATGGTAATTTTTTGAAGTTTTCATTTTATTACTGATAACAAGTAGAATTTTACAGAAATCGATTTTTAATCAATAAATTGGTAAAAATTAATGTCATAAATAAAACTTTTACTGGTATAATATAATGGTCAACTGATTAGAATATTTTTTTTTGAGAAATGAAGTATAGTCAATGTAATGAAATAAGAAGTAATTCAATTGAAAATATCATAATACTGAATATAAGACATTCATCACAATTAATTGATCACTGGATGGTGATCAATCAATTGTGATTACATCTCAGTCCTATAGGAGGTTGGTCACGGTCCGGATAGCCAAGTGGTAACGTCTCTAACTGTGAAGCTGGGTGACATGGGATCGAATCCATCAAGGAGCACCAGTTCCCTCAAGATTACAGGTATATCTTGCTGATGAGTGCCAAATAGAACGAAACCCGGGTTCAGGGTTTCCTGTTGACTACATCCAACCACTATCTTATAAGATATTCATCTATGAAGGCTTTTGTTCAGTCTACGCTGTCAAACAAGATGATTAACCTAATCAGAAAAGCAAGGTTTTGGAATATCAGGGAAAATTTGTAATTCCAGTAGATATATATAGTGATGTATTCAATGAGTCTAATTATTTGGTTGTGAAGCATTAATTGTCGTTTGGGTACAATTAGCGGTGACTTTAAATAGAAGTCAGTACTTTAGCATTATTTTAAAAGGGATACATTTTAATAACTCAGGTGATAGTTCATCGTCCGATAAAGGCTTTATCTCCACATGCATTTGTATCGCCTACTGGATTTTGTTAGATTGAACCTTACAGTTACGCACTCAAAAACATATATTACAATGAAGGTAAATGCAAGCACAAATTCAACTAGGATAATGGCGAAATTCTAAACCGACGAATGTCTAGGAATGGTGAAGGATTCCTTATTGCACCAAAATATAATATTGAATAAAGCCATTAATAATAATAATAACAATAATAATAATGATGATAATAATAAAGTCAATTTTCAGTCAACATATATATTGGTATAGTTCTAATGGATGACGATCAGGTCAATCGTTCATGTGATTAGAAGAGGTTAACTAAACCCAAAAGCCAATGGGAGTATAAATGAAATAATCTCAGCGATTGAAATTTAAATAATTCCAACGTTTCGTCCAACAAACACGTTTGGACTTCTTCAGGGTAACAACAATCACAACAACCAAATCACATCAGATAAACATAAACGTTGTGGAGGCTCTTCACTCGAACACTACCAGTCGAGTCAGAGCTCATGGCGAACTGTCAACTGATTTTGCAACCTTCATTTTTGTTCGATTCCATCATAGACCTGCTGCTAGAAATAACATCCTTGTCGACTGTATTCTCAGGAATTGATCACCCACCAGGAAGTCCACTTATTGTCTTAGAATACGCGGAAGACATAACCCCGTTTAGTGAGGACGCTGGTAAAATCACATCACATATAATGACTTCTCTATACTCGACGCCCAATTTTTTTCAAACTATTTGTTCTAATATTGACGAATATTTGTATAAACTGGTAGAATAATTCTTCAAAGCTGGCTTCGATTTGAGGTAGTCGCTGATTATGTTGACCAGAACAAAAATGAAGACTTTGAAAATTCACCACGTAATACCAATTAAGTGAAGGTTACCGAGTTTACTAACAGGTTTCATCTTATTTCTTGTTTCACTTCATATTGAAAAACAATCAACACTAAGCTTCGATATGTTCTAAGGAACTACTAAGAGTAGTCGGATAACTTTATAATACTGTTAATGCGGACTCTTTTAATATATGTTAATTGAAGTCATATTAATGTCTTTTCAATATATGTGAGCATTTAAATGCCCTAATACAGCCAAATATGAAAGTTCGTTCTCGAAATCCAACGAGTATTTTAAGCATTCATACATACATACGTCAAATTCCCATTTAGAACAAATTAATAAATAGCGGTTGCCAACAACTGTATAGCTTCAGCTAACCAATTCTTAGGAAATTTATGAACAACGATTTTCTCTCTTTCTATTTCTTATTCTGACGTAAAACAGTATATCACCTTGAAGTAAGAAGCATATGCAACATAATCTCAATACGTTCTACAAACATTAACTTCACCTTTTCTTCCTGATAATATACTACGCGGTACCTCGAACGTCATTGCAGAACTTTTGCATCACATAACTCATTTTGAAAATAAAACACAATATTAGACAAGAAATCAACAATATGGAGAAGATAGTGAATATTTCTTACTGCATGTTGGGGATTCACATTAATAGCATTCAAATATGTCATGAAAATGGGAGATTTCCACCATTGTTGATTTATTTCAGGAAGTCGATCAGGATTGCATAGCCGACTCCAGATACTTGAGAAAAGATTGAAATAAAGTAGTTAAGACTCTTTAACATTTTTTCATTTTAAAAAAACATGAATTTTATAGCGTATACGGCATGTAACTAGGCTAACAGATTTGTAAATGACCAGTCAAGTTTATATTATTATTATTGTTATTAAGGAATCGTATTCTCTCGTTGTCGATATTCATGGCTGAAAATTGATCAATCTATGTTAGCATCTGTGTATTCTGTGTGATAGGCCTCGATATAGTCCTTTTCAAGTCTGACGGATTTCGGCTAGTGATGGGATACAGGATCCATGTTTCGTCCTACTCGAGATTAGTAATCTGAATGAACCTGCATCTCGTTGTTGGTGTTCATATTGGGTCTTGAACCTAGGACGCTTGACCATAAACCCTATGGAACTACTGCGTATATAGGGTTCTAATGTGAATATCAACACTGTGATGCAATTAAACCCACTTGAAGAGTCCAAAATAAGACGAAACAAACATCCTCCATTTATCCTCTAGCCACAATTCGCCTATTCTGCAGATCGAATGAGTTGTTTGTGAGGATTTGTTGATGCAGGGCTTTAAAAAACTATTGTTATTATTATATTAGATTTCACATTTACTTCAGCAAAAAAAGAGCCAGGTACACGTTTATTACAAAGATTTTACCAGTAAATTAAAAATGTTACATGAGATTAATATACTACTCACTGACCAACAACAGATATTCAACATGGAGTAAGTTTGTTTGTGACTTTAGGGATACTACAGAAAGGCTTGAATTGAAGTAGGTAGAGAACAAAATTAAAATCTGCAACCTAGTTAATCAGTTAATCATGATCAACTCAAAGCCTAACAAGTTTATGGAATGGGCCAAGTAACCATACCGCATTAACATTACGAGATGAAATTAACACAATGAACAGTTAGGGAGTCAAAGTCATGTAATAGTAATGATAATGAAAAAGACTGAACATTGGGAATATGATAAGGAAAGACGGAATGATTAGGTATGTATGAAGAAGTACGAAAACTCGAGATCTAAAGAAGGATAAATTGAATGAATCTCGATCATTGTGACCGATTTTCAGCCATATTACACAATGTCCGCAACCACTGATCGCAATTATCGTCAGACCCAATCAGGCAGTCCATATCCACCATGTTAGCTATTGAATGTTAGAAACTCTAAACTCCAAATCATAGTTCCACATGTACCATACTATGATATCAGAAGTAAGATAAAATATTAAGCTAGATTTTAATATTGTTGTGAACATCAACATGCTAGAATGTCTGTAAATCTAACTTAATACGACCTAATTTGAAAACAAATATGCATCCTAAATTTTAAGATTAACTTATAAAAAACCAATGATTTTTAATATTAGTGAAAATAAGAAGCAAATAAAAGGTAAAGTTAAAAGAAGCAACAATGTGAAAGTCTAGAAAATCTAATTCACGAGCAAATATTATTTTTTTTACATTGGCGGTACGTTTTTATGATGCACCGATTCACATATATTGTGAATGAATGTTCGAAATGAAACAGTATGTTACACCAATTTAACACATGGAATAATCGTCTATTTGGAAATAATTAACTATGAATTAATCCATTTAAACAATACACTTTAGAAATCAGAGAATATTTAACAAGTCGATATGAAGCAGAATTTTTCAGGTGTGAAAAGTTGTACTTACTGAAAGCTATTTATTAATTATTTGTGAGTTACAGAAGAAAATGTTGCACCTTTAAGGGGGCTAAGATATTTACAACTTCTTTTTAATTTATATAAATGATATTTGAGGTTGCTTTTGTATGGGTAAGCCACTTCTATATGCAGATGATCTTAAAGTAGTGTATTCATTTTCTCCTGATGAGCTGAACAATATGCAAAATTGTACCAAGTAGCCAAGCGGTGCTCAAGATGGAATTGGAGCTTAACATGGCTAAATGTGGATGGATATTCTTCGGTAATATATTACTCAACTTATCTTACCATGAATGGTAAGGTGTTATTTAAGTGACATAGAATAGTGGACTTAGGTACTCCCACAATTTGGTCCTTCACAGAACAAGTCTCGAAACAGACCTCCAAGATCCAACGTCTTATGGGTTGCATAATTCGTAACCTCTTTAGAAACGACTCATGTATTTTGATGCAAAAGTATGGGCTCGACCACTCCTATCAGACTGAACATTTATTTTTAGTAGTGTTTGAATAAAGGATAAATCACAGTTGGAATTCGTTCAGAGACGATTTAAACTTTGAATTCTTGGGACTGACTGTACCTTAAATTATAAGTCTAGATGTAATAAACTTGGACTCGACTCTTTATGGAAGAGGAGACTTAAACTAAATATAATCTTCGTCAAAATACCTAATAAACTATATTTTACATCCGATGAAGCAATTCAAAATGCAGAAATTCCTAGCTACAGCATCCGTAACTCTTCGTCATTACTCAAACAATAACATTTCAAATATTCTCTCTGTAAGAATTAATTTACAAGCGAATTTTCCAGACTATGGAATAATCTAGCACAACCTGTTTGTGAGCAAAAAAACACCACATCCTTTGACCGTCACATTGTTGCTTACTTCTCCTCTAAAAATGCTTTGAATGTTCTCATGTCTGTAAGTATATCATATTCCACAAAACAGATTATAGATACTTTAAGTGTCTAATCGTTTTTATTACCGGACCCACCAAGTAAACCTTCCTACATGCTGTTACTTTACATTAATATTATTACTGGTAACCCTAAATAACCTGAATAGTATTTAACACGAATGGTATGTTATAAAACAATCTGGTACACGTATTACGGTAGACCTGATCGATCTATCGTTGCAATTATTGCTTTTGTTGTCCCATGCTCTTTGCTTCTGTTTTATTTTCCCTAGTTGTAGATGATTATGATTAATTTGTTATGGCGCGGGAAACGACCTTAAATACACTCTTCATACACCAATAAAATATCCACTTAAAGAGAATTAAAATTTCACAACTGATGCCTTTCATTGCTGTTATATATGTGGAAAATGTACTACCTAAACAATTTTTTGAACTAGAACACTTCAAATAATCTAATACCATATTTCCATCCTCTACATTTTATATTATTATCGATATCAAGCCGATAATACCTGTAAACTGGCATGAATTCTGTTATTATTTTCAGAATATATTATTATTATATTTACTAAACAAACTCGAATATGCAAATATACTTATATACAATCATATTAATCAGAAAAGTACTTATAATAAATACCGTTTATTAACTTTGCTTGATTCAGAGTCTAGCGAAGTCGAAACTTTATTTGATGATGTATGAACATATTTATTGATATTTGTGTAAAGTCGACTGATTTTAAGAGTTTCTATTGACGGATTTAAATTTTCATCAGTCTGGTGATTGAAATGAAGTCCAAAAGCTTTATCCAATGATGGCTCCAATTTCTGTAATAAGCGTTCCTATAGGACATAAAAACAAATATATGCTAACAGATGCACATATCAAATTTCAAGGCAAATTATTTAGCAAATAAATCATACACAGAGTATGATTTAGTTTGAACGGCAGTTAGTAGAAAATTCAATTATTGACTTAGAATACGCAAATGATACCTCTCGTAGCTAGTCACTAGTGAACACATGATAATTATCGGTAAATATCAGAGTTCTAGTAAAAAGCCGTGACCAATGGAGTCCAAACATGTCGAATGTGAGGCAGTTACCTACCAAAAACAATGGAAGACGGTCGAACGATTTCGTGGATTGATTTAAGTTAGACGCTAACACCGGTTAATGTCAACTCAGTGGTCTAGAGCCCGACCGTTGGTGTTTCCTCTAGACAGTCAGCATAACAGCGATGTTGCCTTCCCACACTTCGTCTTATCTCGTGGATTTTCGTCTGCGGCGGTAAGGTTCCAACAAGTATGGGGCTAACATGGAAAATGCTCACAAAACGGTCGAATGGAACCGGCTTCAAGCTGTTGTCCCTTGGGCACTGTGACCACGCTCTCAGGTCAGTAAAACCAATCCTAACCGAATTTTCTTTCCACTTACTTCTAGAAGAACCCTTCCACCATGTGGGCAGCCAGGGAGTGGAAACCACCCTCATACCTCTAACAGCACTCAAGTGGTCTGGAGGCCAAGCGTTTACGTGGAACCGAAGGTCGTGGACCCAGGTCACGCGAGCGGAATCGTGGTTGTGCGTTGCTGATGACTCTCACACAAGGACGAAGCAGCCATTCAGTGCTCCCAGGTTTTCAATGGTAATGTGACATTGATCGATTCATAACTTGGATGAAATTCAAACTTCCACAACCCCTTACTGACAAGCTATTAACAGTTGGACTGAGTAATGTTAGTAGGTGTAGACTACCTGGTTTGAGTCCACGTGATTATCATAACCAGTGGTTAGAGACTGTGAGTGACATGGCTTAAAATCATTTACAATGGAACAGGTGCATTCATTCTTAGTCTTCCCTTAAATTCTGAGATTCTAAATTTCTTATGACGTATTTTTTATTTCGCTAACTTCACCTCGAACCGTATCTTCCGTGCCTAATATTTCCTATTAACACTCATATTATTACTATTTCTACTACTCAGGGATTCGGTTTGACAATTTCATGTCTGTGTGTTAATGGGGTATGATAGCTTGAACCGATGTACATATGTACCACGTCATATGTTGCGACTAACTGAGTGACTAAATTAATGAAAATTAAAAATTCATTGACAATGTTTACAGACCCTTCAGGTTCTCATAAAGTTATTTGATCAAATGATGTACATGTGACTATTACGTATGACCCATCCAATGATTATTTTCAACGTTGCGACTTAATACTATTTCTAAATCCTTCATTATGACACTAACTTAGGATCTTCATTCATGTCAAATTATTCTTTAATATTACTGCTCATCATCTATTTTAAAAGTGAGCATGCTCTGACAATGAAGGTTCCTTTTGAAAACTTTGTATACAGTTTCTAACTATAACATTTATGAGATAACAAGAATTTAAATCTATCAGCCGTGAGACAGAATCCGACAATTTTATTATTTGAAAGCTTGAGATTTGACCTCAGTAGAATCAAGGTATATGTGCTATAACAGTTTGATTAAAAGTCAACTAAAGGATTTCTGATTCAAGTCCGAATGAAACAAACCTAGGAACAGAACTTCATGAATATGCTACTAAGAATGGGTTTTCTACTTTATCAAAACTAGCAGTTGCTTGAAACACCATTTTAATATTTATCTAAACGCAAATCTTGGTACAAAAGAGTACCAAAATATGTATCCCCCACATAGCTAAAATGAGATTGTGAATAGGTAGAGAAAGGAAGATGAGGTGAGCATTAATTTACATTTAGAAACGGAAAAACAATCCTCACTAATATTAGCTTTTTTAATGAATACATACATCATTTTAGGTTTTAGAATTACATGTAAACGAACAAAAACATACCAAAATACTAGGAGTAGGTGCTTGTTTGCTTTTTAGAGGTTCAACGTTATTCAGAATATTTACAGTATTTGTGGCGGCAGAAACAATGTTTGGTGTAAAATTAGTGTAGTCTCCAAAGTCTTCATTATCATCTGATTCCAAAGAATTCCGAGAATTTGTTATAGAAGGCTTATCATCTATTGCGTCAACTACGTTTTTATGTACTTCGGGTGAAAATATAGCCCAATCTTCATCAACCTGACCATCACTCACAAAATCAGCAAATTCCTCCACAAAGTTTTCATCAGTATGGGAGTCTTTAGATAAATCTGACGTCAGAGTTTGTGCTGAATACTTCTGAGGAAGAGGAGATGAAGGATTGTTATGTTTGTTATTTATTTCCATCACATTTGACGTATCTGTATGGTCTATATTGGTAGGTGCATTATGTACCATGTCAATATCCGACTCGGTTAATTCTAGATTGGTTATATATGCAGTTTCTTTTTGTGATAACTGTGGACAGGGCTTTATAGGATTTAAGGATTCATTCTTACAAGCAGCAACAACAACTGAGTTTATATATGCACCGAGATCATGATACTTTTGACTATCAGGAATATCATACGGAATTTCTACCGATTCTGAACTAGATATACTACCAGTGGGGGAATATATTTCTGCATAACCATCGGATATTCCATTTTCATTTACATGTGATAAGTCAGAGTTCTCGATATTATTGAAGTAATTAGCTGGATATGATAATTTGAGATCCACATTGTCATCTAATTGTAAAATAATGGATTTAATTATTGGAAAGTTAGCACAACCAACCTTTATATTCATCATCTAATACAATGCAGTTCTGTTTAGAAGTTTCCATAATTATAGTGTAATACTCTTGTGGTTTCTTGCATCACTAAACAATCAATAGAAAATGTTTTAAAATAAGTAAGACCATGAGCAAAAAAATACTTTTTTAAAAAGTCGGTATGAGTTAAACAACTTTTGAGATTAGGAGACTACATATCTCATTTGGTATTATTTTTTGAAACTTCATAAATGTATTCATTCATCATTTTCTTGCATAATCAAATTTGCTTACCTCAACCTCTTATTGAACGCGTTATATTTGAAAATGAGAATAATTTTTGTCTCAAAGCCTTTAAACGCAAAGAAGCATATTTTAATGAAACTATCTGAAAGCAGTAGAACATTTGGATCTTCGGAATCACAATCTCGAATAGTATTTAAGCCCGATTACTAGAATTTTACTGGGAATCAGTATTTGACCAATACGATCATAACCGCAATTTCGTTAATACAATCAAAAAGCAGGTTTGTTTGACGCACAGAATGGAATACATCAAGTAACAATACGAGGAAGGCATGTTCACTGTGCAGAACCAAGATAAAAATAAGTGACTAGAAATAGCGAAGACGGCTCCAGAACAAGGAATCATCTTGATGTGTCAGTCAGCTACAACGTAGGACCAGGCACATGTATGCATCGGCCCAGGTTGCCATACCTCATTAGCACAGCAAGATGAACACCGGATTCATAGGAGTGGTTAGGTCAAAGGTGGTAATATATAGGAGAAAGATTGCAATAAGGATATAGTATAGGAAGAAAGAATTAGTTCGTAGAAAGAAAGATGTGAAGTGATCTTAATCTCTTAGTTTAAGAGAAGACAGAGAGTGTATACACCGACGCCATTGTGATCGATTCTGAGCCATGTCACCAAGGGTCTCCAACCATTGGTTACGAAAGTCACGCGGACCCCAACCAAGTAGTCTGCATCTACCAACATGGCTCAGACTAGAAGTTAGTGACTTCAGGCACTGATGCCACGTTTTGGTTTGGCCGCCCCTAACTTTCTTCCAACCATCCCCTACACCGGTTAGCATTGCACGTCGCGGTAATCGGTGTTCAGGCATACGTAATACGTGGCCCAACCATCTCAGTCGATGAAGATTCATAACCTCATCAACTGATTTACCATCATTCCCTAATACCCTGCGTCTAACCTCACTATTACTTACCCGGTGATCCCAGCAGATGCCAGCAATATTTCTAAGGCATCTGTGGTCAAATACTAGTAGCTTACGGGTGTCTTCTACTCTTAAGGGCCATGTTTCGCTGCCGTAAATTAAAACAGAACGGACAGCCGCGCAGTATACTCGTCCTTTTATTGATAGACGGATATCTCGCCTCCGCCAAAGGTGACGTAAGTTGGCAAAAGCCAAACGAGCTTTACGAATCCGTGCTGAGATTTCGTCAGACACCAACCCATTAGGGCTGATCAGACTTCCAAGATAAGTGAAGTTGTCAACTCGTTCGACTACTTCACTCCCTATCCTTAGTTCAGGTGTTGACGCAGACCAGTCCTGAAGCAACAACTTGCATTTAGAGGGAGAGAAGCGCATCCCAAACATTCTGGCATTGTTGCTTAGTGCTACCAGAAGACTCTGCATTTTGTCAGCGTCTTCACCAAACAGGACTATGTCATCTGCATATTCTAAGTCGATAAGTGGACCTCCTGGAAGGAGATCAATACCCGAGAATTCAGTCGACGAGAGTGTTATTTCCATCAATAGGTCTATGATGAAGTTAAACAAAAATGGAGAAAGTGGGCAGCCTTGACGGACACCACTTGAGGTTGCAAAAGTAGATGACAGTTCGCCATAAGCCCTGACTCGACTAGTAGTGTTCGAGTAAAGAGCCTTCACAAGGTTTATGTACTTCTGAGGTACGCCTTTCAATGACAGACACTGCCACAGAGTCTCGCGGTCTACAGAGTCAAATGCTGCTTTTAAGTCAAGAAAGACCACCATCGTCGGACGCCGATAGGTATGCCTGTGTTCTAGAACCTGACGAATGGTGAATATGTGGTCGATGCAGCCACGACCAGGTCTAAAGCCAGCTTGGTTCTCTCGTGTTTGTAGTTCACGAGTCTTAGTTAGGCGTTTGATAATTATCGAGGCCAGTATTTTAGATACTATGTTTGTTAAACTAATCCCTCTGTGGTTGTCACAGGATGATTTTGACCCTTTCTTATATATTGGGACGATAAGTGATTGCGACCAGTCAGATGGGATAACGTCTAATTCCCAGATCTTAGCTAAAATATTAGTCAACCTAATCGCTAAAATTGGACCACCATCCTTAAAGACCTCTGGAGCCAATCCATCTGGACCAGCTGCCCTTCCTCGTTTCAGATTAACTATAGCCTTCTCAACTTCAGCAAGAGTTGGGGGACCTACTTCAATGTTCCATTCACTTTGTCTGGGAATGGAGGGTAGTTGTAGAGTAGCTGAAGGCCAGCTGAACTGTTCTCTAAAATGTTCCGCCCATCGTTCTAAACGTCTGGACTGGGAGCAGATGAGAGTATCATCTTTTTCCGAAATAATCTCACTTACACTTGACTTATTAATTCCAGTTTCTTTTATTAGTCTGTAAAGCTGTCTTGTGTTCCCTATAGTCGCCGCCTTTTCCATCTCTTTTGCTTTCGTTACCCACCACTGCTCACGGTCGTTCCTTAGACTTTTTCTTAACCTAGATCTGATTTGTTTACGCTCTTCATCATGTTCAGAACCTGATGGGACGAGTTTGCGAGAATCCATCAGTGTGACAGACCTTGAAGAAATCCACTGGTTCCTTGTAACTCTGTGGTTTAAGTCACTAATAGATGTCACTGCTGTTTCCACAGCTGCTTGTATGCCCTTCCAAGCAACATCTGGGTCAGCCTCGTCTTCACAACTACCTAAGTGTGACCTCAGTTGTTCCTGGAACCTACTTTTGGTTTTCTCGTTACTCAACTCAGTTCTAATGGGTCTTTTTAATGTGGCTTTTTTGCGTCCAGTGAGGCGCAAGCAGATGCGTGCCCGTATTAGGGCATGGTCGGAGTCCAAGCAGGTACTCCAGAATGAGCGACAATCTTCTACCGACCCTCTCCAACGATGACTGATGGCAATATGGTCTATTTGAGTCCATCGTTGGTTTGGTGTAGGGGGTCGCCATGTTAGACGATGTCTCTCCTTATGCTTAAAATTTGTGTTTGCTAAAAATAAACGATTGTCTGAGCATAGCTGCAGCAGACGATCACCATTATCTGTTCGCTGTGTCGGAATACTAAAATATCCACCTAAATGCCTTTCTGTTTGGTTTAAACTGCCTATCTGAGCATTAAAATCACCTGCTACGAGTACTATGTCTGAGCGTTTAGCTTTCTGAAGAAGTTCGGATAGCTTTCTGTAAAATTCATCTTTCACTTCATCTGAGCTGCAGTCAGTGGGAGCGTAGGCAGAAACGACAAAAAGGCAACGACGTGTGTCCCTATCCTTCCGAGTTCTTACGTAGCCGTTCAGCCGAACAGCACATAGACGACTGTTGACGGGGATCCACTCTAGCAGTGCTTGTTCGGCCCTCATGCTTAGTGCTATGCCTACACCTGCCAGTCCACGAGAACTTGCCATCGGGTCACCAGACACACGAAGGGTGTATCTCGTTGGCTCTCCGTCTTGCCGAGGTGAGGTCAAGTGAATGACCACACTGGAATCCTGTATGCGTGTTTCGGAGACACAGCATACATCAATGGAAAGAGACTCTAGGGTTTTAGCCAAGGAAGCCTGCTGACCGATTTGACATAGGGTGCGTACGTTGAAGGCTCCAATGTGTAGTTTGGAGCGAGGTTTCAGTAGACCTGGGACAGTGTTTTGCGCACTAGAATCGTTGGCTACGGTGACACTTGAGGTGGAAGCCGAGAGAGGAAATATAGAGTTGAAAGTCGATGTAGGAGGAATAATAGGAATTGAAGAGGAGGTTGATTATGAATACAGTGGTCTTGAGTGCTGTTAGAAGTATGAGGGCGGTTATCACTTCCCGGTTGCCCACACCGTGGAAGGGTTGTTCTGGAGGTACCTGAAAAGGAAATTGGATTAAAGGTGGTCTTAGTGAACTGAGAGCGTGACCGCAGTGCCCAAGGGACAACTGCTTGAGGTCGGTCACACACGACCTTGTTATGGGTAATTTTTGTGTTAGCTCCGTACTTATTGAGACCTTACCGCCGGAGACGGATATCCGTGGGATAAGGCGAGGTGTGCATTTTTAGGGTCGACCTTTTCTAACCCCACCCCTCCTTGTGGGAAGGCAGCATCGCTGTCATGCTGGTTGTCTGAAGGAAACACCTTACTGCTGTCACACCTCTGTACAGTCAGCAGTACGACTTCGCCTTCGGACCTTGGGTTTGTTGCTTTTAGTCTTACCGCTCTTCAACCGACCTGTCTGACATGGTAGGACCTTGAGGAACGGTTGTTCCAGCCAGTATAGCTCGGTTGCTTCATCACGATAGGCAAGCCCGACCACCACGTCAAGGTAGCAACAACGGTCGGGATCTTGATGTGTAGACAATAGAAAAAATACTAAAACTCAAAGTGCGAAAGATTGAACACATATTTGCCATTGTTATCGATCCTGAAACATATTACTCAACTTTTCCAAACACTGGTTGCTGTTATCGCGTGAACCCTAGCCAGGACCCACGAATATCGTTCAGACCAATAGTCAATAACTTTGTGGACTGGTACCGTGGTTTGACACCTCTAGCTTCTCTTTAAACTATTTCTAATCTAGCGAGCATTACTCATCGAAGGGGGTGGTTAAATATACGTGATACACCTCAATTCACCAGGTGTGACGAAACTTACGAAATAATTGAAATGAAAAAAAGCAGTTAGATACCTTATAATCAATCTAAATGTTAACACAAACCTGTTCTAAAACAGTTTTAGGTTTTAAGAGAAAACTGCCCCAAAAACTCTCGAATTGTTATACAAAGTATTTCAAACACTAAATTTGATCAGCTTCTCCATCAAACAAGGTAGTGTTGTCTGTATACTGGAAGTTAGCCAGTGAGTTTCCTCGAAAGAGGAACGATCCATGAAGAATAAGGTGAACTCGACACAACTGAATCTGAGACATTTTTAGAGCAGTAGTTCTAGGAAGTAGTATTTCATAAAATCATTTAGTCCTGTTTATTTAAAGACCTTTACGTTCAAAGTTTGACATAAACATATAAATCGTCGAGGCGATTCTCTTCGCTGAACTACCTCTATACATACCCGACTGTAGCTGCTAGCTTGACGTGGTGATCTAGCTTGCCTATCGTGATGACCCAACCGAGCTATATTGGCTGGAGCATATGTTCCTGTAGGTTCTACTATGCCAGACAGGTCAATTGGAGAACGGTAAGACTAAAAGCAGCAACTCAATGTCTGAGGGCGAAGTTGTACTGCTGACTGTAGAGAGTTGTGACAACAGTAAGATGTTTTCCTCCAGCAACCACCATCTGCAGAGATGCTGCCTTCTCACGAGGAATGAAGGAGTTAGAAAGGGTCGACCCTAAAAATGTCTTACCACACCTTACATCACGGATTTCCGTCTCCGGCGGTAAGGCCTTTTGAAGAACGGAGCTAACACATTGAAAACCTCCCACGAAAGGGCCGTGTGCGACCGGCCTCAAGCAGTTGTCCCATGGGCTCTGAGGTCACGCTTTTAGGTTGTTAAGACCAACACTAATCTAACTTCCTTTTCAGGTTCCTCAAGAAATACCCTTCCACGGTGTGGGCAGCCAGAAATTGACATCAGCCCTCATACCTGTAACAGCACATGAGACCAAGTTGATCACAATTAAATCCTTCCTACACCTCTTAATGACTCTGTTGTATCCATGACTAACCTTTCTCACGTCCTTTTATCACTTCACACCGCTAGGGAGAACGATTCGAGTACGCGGAACGTTATTCCTGGTCTCCTGAAACCACGCTCTAAACTTCGTGTTGAAGCTTATAACGTCCGAACACTGTGCCAAATGGGATAGCAGGCTTCCTTAGCTAGGACGTTAGTATCCCACGCCACCGATGTATGCTGCGTCTCCGAAACGCACATACAGGATCCGAGTAGCGTCATTCATTTGACCTCACCATATCAAAATAAAGAACCATCTCGATTAACGCTTCGTGTGTCTGGAAGCCCTGATGCTGCTTCTCGTAGGTATAGCATTGATTTCTAGGGCAGAATTAGCTTTCCTTGACTGGATCCCAGTAGACAGCCCGAATAAACAGGACAGTAAGGACTCGGAAAGATAGGGAAACTCGTCGTTGCCTCTTCGTCGTCTCTGCCTACTCTCCCACTGGCTGCAGCTCAGATGAGCTAAAAGATGAGTTTTACAGAAAGCTTTCTGACCCCCCGCAAAAAATTTGGCGCTCTGATGTAGTGATAGTGGCTGGTGACGTTTTCGTTCAAATAGGTAAACTAAGTGAAAAGGAAAGACACCTGGATGGATCTTATGGTGTCATAGCTCAAAGAACAGATAATGGCGGCCGTCTGTTGTAGCTATGTTCAGATAACCGACTGTTTCTAGCAAACACTAACTTTAAGCATAAGGAAAAACATATTTTGACATGGCGACCCCCTAATTCGTCCCAGCGTTGGACCCAAATAGATCACATCGCTATCAGCCACCGATGGAGGGGCTCAATAGAAGACTGTCGCTCGTTCTGGAGCACATGCTTAGACTCAGATCATGCTCTAGTACGAGCGCATATTTGTCTGCGTCTTACTGGACATAAGAAAGACGCTGCAAGGAAACCTCTTAGAGTCCTACTTAATGATAGCCATGCTAAGAATATATTTCAGGAACAACTAAAAAGCAGGTAGGCAGCCGTGTAAGTGGTGCCGACCTCGAGACAGCTTGGAATGGTATCCGAAAAGCTGTGAAAACAGCAGTGATATCTGTTAGTACGGTAAACCGTAAGGTTAGGGTGAAACACTGGATCTCAGCAGCATCTACCACACTGATAGATACTCGAAAACTCATCCCACCTGGCTTCGAACATGACGAAGAGCGGAGTCAACTTGAGCGCAGACTGATAAGAAGCCTACGCGATGATCGTGAACAATGGTGGGTAGCGAAAGCAAGAGAGATGGAAAAGGCAGTGACAATAGGTAACAACAGACAACTGTCCGGACTTAATAAGGAAATCGGTATTAGGAATCCAACTGTTAGCGAAACTATCTCGGAAAAAGAAGGAAATATTATTCATTCTCAATCCAGGAGATTGGATCGATGGGTATCACATTTAAGGGATCAGTTCAACTGGCCTTCAGCTACACTTTGGTTTCCCATGATCTGAAGTCAGCCTGAATGGCAATTTAATGTAGGTCCTCCGACTCTTTACGAAGTTGGAAAAGCCATAGGAAATCTGAAGCGAGGGAGAGCAGCAGGCCCTGACAGGTTTACCCGTGAGATTTTTAGGGATGGCGGTCCAGTATTAGCAGTGAGATTGACTGAGGTCTTAAGCGGAATCCGGGAACTGAACGTAATCTCATCTGACTGATCTCAATCACAGATTGTGCCAGTCTATATTGGAAAAAAGTCCTCTTGTGACAATCACAGAGGAATCAGTCTGACTAATACAGTGTCCAGGAGATGAACTTTTACCGGGAGAATCACTTGTTGACTTGGAATACGCCGATGACATAGTTCTGTTTGGTGAAGGCGCTGACAAAATGCAGTCTTTCAACCACCATAAGCAACAATGCAAGCGTGTTCGAGATGCGATTCTCCCTTCAAAATGCAAAATGTTGCCTCAGGATTGGGTTGCATCGGCTTCTGAACTAATGATAGTGAGTGACGTAGTTGAGTGTGTCGGCCGCTTCACTTATCTTGGCAGTTTCATCAGTCTTTGTAGTCTGGTATTTGGCGAATCCCAGCATGGACACACAAGGCTCGACTAGATTTTGCCAACTTGCGTCATTTATGGCATAGGCAAGATATCCGTCTACCAACCAAAAGACGGGTTTACTGCGTAGCAGTACGTTCCGTTCTACTTTATGGCAGTGAAACATGGCCGGTAAGAGTAGAGGGTATTCGTAGATTTTTTGTTAGGTTACTATTATTCAATCATAGGTGTCTTCGAAGCACTGCTCGTATATCTTGAGACCACCGAGTCAGCAATACAGTCGTTAGGAAACGGGTACTACGTAAGGATGGCAAATCAATTGAAGTAGTGAAGCTTCATCAGTTGAGATGGCTGGGACATGTGTTACATATGCCCAACCACCGACGAGCGATGTTCCACAGTGCAGGAGTAGGTTGGTCCCAGGATATACAAGCAATGCTTCGAAGACACCTATGAGTTGTGACACTACACCAGTATATTAAAAAGTCAAAAATATGAGTGGAAACGACAGACCAATAGTGGAGTCGGATAATACGGTGAAGTTATATACGAAAACATACCGATGTTCTGAGGCTATTTTGGAATTAGAACTAGTAGAAGAATGGGCGAGACTCTAATTTAGCGACGAGCCAATCAGAAGCGTTTGAGCAATTTCAAGGTCACGGAGCCAAGTTCGACACGCGATGCTAACATATGGTCGGTTCACAGCGGATTTTAGAGAGGAGGTGATTAATGAGAGGTTGAAACAGATGGGACGGCGAAACTCTAATTTAGGGACTAGCCAATGAGAAGCGTTTGAGCGATTTCAATTATTAGCCAATCAGAAGACAGTATAAAGTAAAAATATATTACAAGAAAGTAATGAATTATAGCGGATATTCTTCTTTTACATGATTTAAAAGCTTGTTGAGGTTTGATAAAGGCTCAGAAGTTCTGAATTCATAATGCATATTGTATAGAAACTCGTCAATAGGGTTAGGGTTTGGGGTTAAAATTAGGGTTAAGGGTTAGATTAGGGTTTAGGGCTAAGGTTAGGGTTTTGGGTTAGATTAGGGTTTAGGGTTAGATTAAGGTTAGGGTTTGGGGTTAGGTTAGGGTTTAGGGTTATTGTTAGGGTTAGATTAGGGTTTAGGGCTAAGGCTAGGGTTAGGGTTATGGTTATGGTTAGATTAAGGTTAAGGTTAGGGTTTAGGGTTATGTTAAGGTTAGGGTTAGATTAGGGTTTAGGGTTAGGTTAGGGTTAGGGTTAGGTTAAGGTTAGGGTTAGGATTAGGGTTAGATTAGGGTTAAGGGTTAGGTTAAGGTTAGGGTTAGATTAGGGTTTAGTGTTAGGTTAAGGTTAGGGTTAGATTAGGGTTTAGGGTTAGGTTAGTATTAGGGTTCTAACATGCGATCGGATTTTAGAGAAGAGGTGTCTATTGACAGGGTACAACCCTAACCACCAACTCAATGGACGAGTTTCTATACAAAATGCATTATGAATTCAGAGCCTCTGGACCTTCATCAAAGCTTAACAAGCTTTTAAATCATGTAAAAGAAGAATATCCACTGTAATTCATTACTTACTTACAATATATTCTCACTTTATACTAACTGTCTTCTGATTGGCTAATAATTGTCAAGGTCATTTAAGATTCGTTCAAAGGTCGTCGCTAAATTAGAGTCTCGCCGAAGAATGATATGCAAAGATTTGTAATGAGTTTAGTACATATCGTACCATGCAGTTTTATCGGTACATAGTTAGCTAGTGAAATTTCGCCAAAGACATAAGCATATCTGGTAAATACCAACCTGGATCACATACATTCTCGAGAAGATACCCGGATATTTAAGAAATTTTACGATGCACAACAACAGTTCACAAATCAACCTTCCTTAAGGATGAACCATAATCTGCAATATATTCGTGGGGAAAATGCTATTTACACTTTTTCGGGGACTCACTAGAGCAAAACTTTGCGATAGAACCATCTTCTTCTTTCGTATCGCTGCATACGGAACTGAGGCCTCCGTTTAGTGAGTTTATGCATCTACTAGCAACGGGTGACCAACATTTTACAGGTAGGAACAAACTAGTAAAAATCCAGTTGAGACAAAATCTTGTAAAGTTGAATCTACGCGAACTTTTAGTGATGGGAGCGATGAGGCCATCAAATATTAGCATAATTTGCAATGGCTAAGTATTACCACATATGTGGTCTGTGGTTATACAACCACTTCTCGTTTCACCCAAAAAAAATGTTTACATGAATATGATAGATGGTGTAAAATGTGAAGCATTTATTATTACCTGTAGCATCAACACAAAGGACAAACTTCCTAATTTCTTTAAACAGATATGCCAAACAGACTGTGCCTCTAGTAACGCAAGCAACAATAAATGCGGCTTTCAATACCCAATATCTTTAATTGTTTTCCGATCTAGGTTTACGCTTTGAGAACAGAATCTAAGAAGCTTTCTGAAAAAATTTAAAAGCTTTTTTAAAGCCAACTGACTTCAAAAGTTTTCTTGAACCAGTCAAGTATTCGGCAGTCGAAATATTTTACGAAAGGCAGATTCGTCAGCTTCAGGACAATGAGGTTGGTTAAGTTAGAGGCTCTTACATCATCAAATATCTGTTTTATTGACCATTATAAGATCACGAAAAAGTTATTGGGGTGACAAACATTAGTCCGAACTAGATAAAGTTTGAAGATAGGACAAATAAGTGTAAATGTTCGGAAAAATCCAGAAATTTTGTGTCGAGCTAATATAAACAGATTGATTTTGTGCGCTTTATTCTTCATGTCATGGAACGTTCCACGATCTTTGGTATCGTCTAGTTCAGGTGGTTCGTCACTCAGTTGCATTGCTTCCAATGAATTCGATAGTTGATTTGGAGTCAATTTTTCTTGGTTGTGTGGCAGAATTAACACTAAAAACACTGGTTAAATATACTGTTTACACCTCCTTTTACATTAGTGAACAACTTTCAACATCTTTCGCCTTTATGATCCTTAAACCTGTCTGTCACAAAATAATATTGTTGATTTATAAAATTGCATAGTTGGCTATTTTTATTGTTTAAAGTGGATATAAAAGCTAATAATTTGCTCAGTGATTAACTTTTTTAAAGCAGCGAGCCTTGATTGCAGCTAAAGACAATCAGCTTCTCCAGTTTCTATATTTATACATACATGGGCTAAAAGAAAATGTATATATTGAAATATCGAACAAACATTTTGATGACACAAACCAATTACCACCTCAATATCTGTGGTCATACCCTCGGAAATCTTCGTTGGGGCTCCATAAACAAAAAACAGTTATCCTACTGTTAGTCATACAAGAGCACGTACTCTGAAGTAGTTATATTACTCAAACCAGCAGGTATAACATTGTAGCGGTAAATAAATCCCAAAAATCTATAGTTCTGTAAGCATTCGGCATTGGGTGCTGACCACATTAGTTTTAATGGGCTCATCTGGCTAAAGGTGCTCGTTCATGTATCCGCATCAGATCACGAGTAAGAACGCCGTGTTCAACATCCCCTGCAATCGACAGCCAGTCTAGATCAGTCGATTCTCGATATAATCGATAGCCAATCAAATAAATCTTCTGACATTTGATTTGACTAGGTGTTACTGGTTAAAGTGTTGTCAAACTCCAAATACATGCGGCATCTTCATTGGTGAGCCCGAAGTGATCTGGTACACCAATTCGCAAACTGAGTCTTTTCTTTTTTCGAAGTTCATAAATTATTGCTTTATTTTAATTTCATACATTGCGAAATTTTTTCAGTGTTTTTGTGTATATATATTTTTTCCTCTTTCATTCCCGTGCTTGATATTTCACCATGATGGAACAGACATCCAAGGTACTTAAGTGAAAGACTATGCCCCCATCTTCATTTCAACTAATGCTTTTCTGGCCAAACAACATCGAAGCCTGGTTCTGCTACGCAGGAGCCGATTTCTGCGAGCACGGGGTGAACGAGACACGTGCACGATTCCTCGCAGTAGTCAAGGCACTACTGCGCGATTTCAGCAGGTACGTTACACCTATTAAGTTTACTGGTGATGTTTCGGAACTCCACAAATCACTTAAACGCGGAGATCCATCCGATCGACAAAGTTTATACCAACTCCCTAGTACTATCAATCTGCAACACGGTTCAGAGACACACATGTTGTTAAGAATGAGAGATGTAATTGGTCAAAGAACTTTCGACGATAGCCTATTTAGACAACATTTCTAGTTTGGACTTCCTCAACAGAAGCAAGCTGTGCTGGTCTCGCTTAAAAAAAACGCCGTAGACGAGCTGGCTGCATCTGCCGACCACATCCTTGAAATCACGAAATCTTCTAATACGAAGGTTTTTTCACTCAAAGAAAAACCTCAAGCAACATAGAATGACACCACGGGATTGTGTCATACGCTGACACGTTACTTTTGATCTCGTAATGACCGTGAGGGGTCACAAACCCCGCGAAGAAATACTTCACGTAAGCGATGTCTCTAGACCACGAGACACAGATAAGCACGATCGGTGCTGGTACCATAATCAGTACGGAAATCTTCTCGAAACTGCAGAAAACCCTGCAATTTTCTGAATGTCAAACCGACCGACACGAAATACGTTACGGGAAACTTACCAGCCTGCACGCGTTAACGGCAACTGTCATCACCAACATCTGAAACGTGTATTTGAACGACTACAAAAGCACGGAATTACTGTAAACATTCAGAAATGCCAAATCAGAACTGACTCCCTAAATTCCCTCGTACACACTATTGATGCTCAAGGCAACCTATGAAAAGCAAAGCGGCGCGCGTTCTGGATTACCCAGAACCAACCACAATCAAGCAATTACGCACGTTTAATGGACTAGTATGTTTCTATGGATGATTCATGCCAAACTGCGTGTCCCTTATGAAACCCCTCATCGACCAACTTTGTGGAAATGCGTACCGCGCCCCAGATCACCTTGAAAAAAATTTCTGCCTTCACACAGCTATCACATCTCAGTAGATAAACCAGTACAGATTCCATGTTGAGTGGAGACCATAATGTTAGTGTCATATTTTTCGTAACTATTATCTGAGTCCTAAGTAAATTATGCTTTCAGTCAACATAAAGAAAGCTTTAAAAAATAATTTGACGCCCATTAAGCTACTTTTGTTTTGTCGTCTTTAGCTTAGGACCGCGGCTGATTATATGCACGTGTAAGGAAAGACATTTCCACACCTTTTATCCGGCATAATACACGTCTTTCAACTTTTCTATATTATTTTGCATATTATCACTTCTATTACTGTCAGGACTATCATCTTATTATTATTATTATCATCGTTGATATGTCATGGCTCTTTTGCTCCTTATTACATCCTCATATTTGTTTGTTCTTACGTTCTTTTTCATTCTATTTAACTTATTCACATACCCTTATTTTTTCATTTCTCTTCTTCCTTAAATTCCAATGTTCAGCTTTCATAATGAACCATCTAGTCTCATGGTCTCCAACGGAATGGCTGATGATTTCAGAAACCCAATCGCTCTTGCATTTCATGGGAGAACAACATTGGGCAGTGTTATAACTTGTGACGGCCGATCAGAGAGCAGTGACTTATCGATCTGACCAAAGACACCTAAACACGTGCGAGCAGCGTAGAGTCCTGATTGGCCTTGCTTCTCGCCTAGCCCAGCCAGTTAAATCAATAACACAAGTTTCAGCCTCTGCAATATGAATTATTATGTTTCAAACATATCTGTTTATATGCCAATCAGGCAGACCACATCGTACCATAAAATAGAAAATAATATTTGTACAATATTTGGCGAACAGGAAAACGACACGTGAACTAAATATTGACCAATGAGAAAATGATACCACTTCAAGTCCAAGGATAGCATTAGACTTAACAGGATAATTTTTGGGAAGTTTTTCTGAATATCGCAACAGGCAGTCACACCAGAACTGTTCTTAACTCACTCAAAAATGTACGCACGGAGTCATCTTGAAGTCCAGAAGATCGTTTCATCCCCTCTTTTCAAAACAGATATAAATCTCTTGAATCGAATACATAGGTGGTCAACCAAATGTACGATAGGTCTGAAACATAAATCTTGCGATGACAGACCCCAGCACTTGTGATTATTCTCGCTGAGCTATGGCGGAATGCGAAATGGTATGATAATGGCATACTTGTTAAATGAACCAAGTCACCCCAACAAGAAATTATTACCAAAATATCAGATGGATTTTGTGGATATTATGGTAATTTCAATGGTTAAGATCATCAGCACGCTCATCGAGGAAACCCACAAGAGCTTGCACATAAAAGAGCGAACATCCGGGCACGACTTCATTTTTTGTCACTAAATGTTGCTTCCATTTGAAACGCTATCCCAGTTGCAGTGACCACAATCACCTCAACGGATAACTTCAGGAGGAGACCTGATCAACACGTGCTCACTCGTAGATTACCATCCCAATATTGGACCACATGCTCCTGATGCATGTCTCATAAGTTACCACGGTTATCATTAAAGAATACTAATAAATGCTTCCCGTCTAGCTTATTATCCTCCACGTTTCTCCTCTTAGTCTTTCAAACTGATCTCATGTTGTCTGTATCACCAATTAATTAATATGTTTATTCCTCGAAACACCCGTCTTCTATTAGTATTGGAATTTTCCGTTTCGTATTTCCTACCTTGTAACCAACCAACCTCCCGCATGGTAGTGCGATGGCAGTTGATAATCAGAAACCCTATTACGCTGAAACATACGCACTCACATGAGTTACACATACAAATCCATAAAAAACAGACAAACTAGCCGGAATTAGCGCAGTTGAGCTGTTAAACTACCAGCTACTGGACATTTCCAAATCCATGAAACCTAATGGAAACAACAAAAACAGTTCAAGGAATCTGTCAGTTTATACAAGCTCATAACAAAAATATTGGATTCCATGGATCGATAAGGAAACCCGAAAGCTGCTGAGGTACAGGAAACGGTTTGATGACCTTTGTCAACAGACAACAAATCATTTAGGTACGAGTATCGAAAAATCTAGGACATATGCAAAAAAACATAGCTACATGACAAAACACCTACAAAATAGAGTTAATACGTTTATATTTGACTGAAGAAGCTGCTTCTCAATTGATCAGTAACTCCTGACACAGTATTAGTGCACATCGAATACGACAACAGTTACTAGGATAGGGTCAACCGTACATCAACTTCACGGGTGCAGGAACAAAAAGACTTGACAGCGATTCACGGCTTAAAAGCAACTGTGCGTCATTATCATCAACGGTGGCAGGCCGTTTGAAAATTCGAGCTACCCGTTCCTCCCATCGGAGTGTTTCGACAAGTTATCTTTATTTTATTTTCACATATTATCATGTCTATTAATTGCATAACCAATTCAGGCGCATATATGACGACCTATCACCTTTCAAGGTACAAAAAGTACAATCAGATACATCGTGATGACTAACAATATGTATTGAAAAAATGAACGACAATCAAGTGTTGATTCTCAAACTGCCAAATTCTAACTGCCGGTTACTAGTTCGCAAGGTGAACTATCTTTTATTTCTACTAAGTCAGAACATATATCGTAATTGTGGTGTAATGACAAGCCAAGAATCTCTGTTAAATGATCTGAGAGATGACGGATTAGTATCAGTACAAGACCTCAATATCTATTACTGGGATCGACCAAGCAATGAGAAAATGTTTGGAGATCGGTGTGGTTACGTTTCAAAATGTAATCGATCTATGTCAGGATGTTTTGAACTTACAAACGACTGTCGACTACACAACTTTACGTTGCGAACCAAAACACTTGAATAAATGTTTGCCTTAACAACATTTACGTAACTGCAAACTGCACATCATCTGCGGTGTGTTTTCGTCGATGACTTCTTTGAATTTGCCGATACTGAGTTCAATACTAAATTTCCAGTTATATAAGGTGATTTTATTTCACGTGACTGTAGCTTTCTTTTGTCACTAGGTCACCAATGTGTAGTAGATTCTCCCACTTGTTTGGATGCCCATTTAGACTTCGTTCTCATTAATGATTTGGGTACATATGTGTGCCGTAAACGTGCTCCATAGTCTAGCTCGGATCACTGTACATTTTGTGTGCTATCTAATATATATGGAAATCATGGGAATAGTGCACTCTTACATTAAACAAAGGAAGTCAAACACAGGAGTTACTCAGATGAAAATACTCAAAACATGAAAGACGTATTTCATACGACTCAATGGGAGTTATTTGCATTCATTCTAACCCACTAATAATAATCATAAGCACTGGAGCAGTCGCCAAAAAGTTTTAAGCGTTACGGTCACTTCGGTGAGTATTCAAATGCTTTGAATAAATGTTTTGAATTTTGTACTCTGCCTGTGTGCGACGACACTAACAGTGCTGATAGTTGTCCTATGAAGGGTGCTGACGCACTTAAGTGTTCGGTGCTAAAAACATTCTGACCGCTTCAAATTATCGTGGAACGCGAGGTGATCTTGTACTGGTATTTCGTTTATTTAAATAACGATTTTGGTGTTCGGATATCTTATTATTTCGCTACTGGCGGAACTTATCATATCTAGGGACACATCAAGAAAGTCCGAAATTCGTGAACTAATATACTTCTAATGGGATTTCGTTTTTCTCATCAAGTGGTCAATGACTGAAAAGTCTTACCAGAACAAATGGTTTCAGTCCAATCAGGGAAAATTTTAATGGTGAAGACTGAACCTTCCATGATACTTAAAAGTATTTGAATTGAGTTGCTAACTAAGAATTCCCGAGATAATGCAATTTAAGCCAGAAGTAAACGAACACAACTGAACGTGTCATATTTTGAATTCGCAAAAAGCGCGCAATCGCGTTGAAAGGAGTCATCAGTTAGCACAAACACCACATCTCAACTGCAACACAAGTTGCTAGGATGAATACAGGTGCTTCTTTAAAACCGAATACTGAGGACTTAAAACGAAAGCCGCTAATTGTAAACAGTGAAGGTCATCGTCGCTGCGTTGACAAATGAGTCCGCTCTGTTACCTTTTTGTAGTATGTACTTCTGTACTCCTTACTTTAGGAGATGCAGAGATGTTTGGGGCACCCAGAAAACTGAAACCGAACGAGGCGACCATAGAAAAATTTAATCATGAGTTGGTCAAGGTAGCCCATAAATTCAACTCCGAGCATGGAAACAGCAGTCTTCATATCATAACTAAGTTGGTAAACGTGACCTCCCAGGTGAGTTTCTGTCTTTACAAGTTACCATTTTTACAGGTCGTTCAGGGGATTTTATATACATTTTACGTTAAGTTTTCCCCTACATCGTGCACAACTTTTGCCAATGACAACACTCGTAAGATAACTAACACCTTTTACTAATATGTGTATCTTAGATGTTTTGGGCGACATTTTTCTTAATCAGAATTCTTGTGACATAACTGGTGGAGAGGTATTTTTATTTATGTTAATGCTGTTTATTTTCTACTCAGAGTAAGATTTGCAAAGTCACTGTTTGGCAAAGACCATGGCTCCAATCTGATGCTTCTGAGATAATTAAAATAGTTAATTGTTCTACGGATACGATTTGATCTGCTCTCGTTCTATGCTATGCCATAAATTCATGCAATGGTGGGGATTTAGATTTTAACATTTGATTATTCGTATACTGCAAAGTTTGCTTCATTCGCCATGCGTGTATTTGATTCATTAGTTAATTAGATTTGAATTTCACGGAAATAACCTGACTTCATACTCTTCATTTCTGGCGATTCATTATTGAACCTAATAGTCGCATTTGATTTTGTTTGCAGTAATATATTCTAGTAAAGTAAATATGATTTCATGAGGCTAATATTTTTCCGGCAGTTTACTTCTAATTTCATATTTGGGGACTACTGACAAACAATCCCTATCTCTGGCATTTAAAAACTATTCTTATTAGTTTCTTTTAGCTGCTCTTATAACTTATTCATACATGGGATTTCATTTTAATTTCGGTGTTATAATTGTTGTACGTGTTTTAAACCGTGAAAACTTGTTAATACTGAATTATAAACTTAAAACTAGATTTTGCCGTGCTTCATTTGTGTTTCGGTTAATAAAGGTTTTCTCATATTCAAATGTTGTAAGTTGGTTTTAATTTTGTTTGTCTTTTTAGTTCGGTATGTAATCAGAGCTTATATTTTATTTTCAACAAAAATAATAAGCATAGAAAATCTACGTCATAATCCTAAGAGACATGTATATTCACTAAATCTACTTTTACATTCACCCTCAAATTCAAAACCTACACAACCTTGTGTTCTTTTGATCTTCCTGATGTATTGTGCAGGTTATATAAACGAGATGAAAAATGACTCATCCCGTCTTATACTGCTTGTCGCTACTATTCCATATGTTTTAATCACTCCTTTTAGATTCATTTCTACTGAACATCATTTTCGAAAATATTAGCTTATAGAGACCAGATGATTTAACTGTCGTTCATGATGTGGTCGTTTAAGCGTCAAACAATCTGAAACCACTTACAATGTGAATTGAAAGACATAAAGCCCATAACTGAAGTTATGAATCTAGATCAAGTGAATTAACTGACTAGTGTGTAATACTTGCAAAGTTACTGTTCATCGTGATGTATGATGTTTACTGAAGTAGGATTATATTTGGGAAAGCCGAATATGACAGCGTAAATACTTCGCATTATTCCGAGTCTTCAGGAAAGTAAAGTTAGTATTAAAAGATTACAGATGGAATGCTTAGAACCGACCGTAGTAGGTTGAATGCATTAATTCATCAAATTGTATTGAATTTCTCGTTACTTGTCATTTACCTTTAACTTGTTGCTTCTATGCTACTAAACTTGTTCTGTAGTAAACTATGATAGCTTGAAGAGATGTGCTCTGTTATTTGGCTTAGTTTTCATGTTTTCACACTTGACCTGTCCTGTGCAGTTAGATGTGAGAATAATAAGGATTTGGAAAAATTGTAAAGTGCATGGCTCAATCCGAAAGGCAAGCTTTTGAAATCTAAGAGTTGGTTCGTTAAGGTTATGTGTTTGTCTTTTTTACTAATATTGATGAGATCTATGGAAACCCAGTGGGAGTGGGATTTATACAAATTTTTATTTCTTTGTATTCGTAATTGGTATTCTTAAACATGACAAGTAAGTTTTGACCTCATTATTACCTCTATTATTCAGGTTATTTCAAATTAGGGTCATGTTTAGTGGGCTAAAGTTTAAACTACATACTTGCACTTAGAAAGGGCTATATAACTCAGGCATTCCTCAAGTAAGACAAGATAGTAAAGTGAAATATTAACTCTTGAATTTTTTATCTGTTAATATACTCACTTGTTGTCGTAAAGTTATTAAGTCTCAATATATTTTGCGCTATGAGGTTACGTTCTACTATTCAAAGTACTTAGTATAATTTGATATATAGTAGGATAAATCTGAGTACGGTTGGAACCAAACTGCTAAAGTTCTTTTACTTTATACGTATAACGTATGGGAAGTTGGAATTTCAAGAGATACACTTTTTAGCTTTTTAGTATCCAGAATAGCCAATATCAAAGATATAAATAATGAACTGGGAATTACCTTATGAGAATTTGATGGGGTTTTAGGGTCTTTGGACATGCATATTTACTCCGTAGAAAGTATGATCTACGTTATCATACAGTGAAATAGGTTTGATTTCAAGTACTTAATACAAAACTGCTCACTAGTTGCTTTCCAAAAAGATTGATAACATATGCCCTATCTTTAAACCCTTCACGATCAACCCACACAAATTTGTTACAGTTCTTACATAAAGATAACCTGAATGGAAACTTGAGTGAGAAAAGATGTGGACAAAGCTCCAAAGGTTTAGTTGTTGATTAAATCTACGAAAGATAAAACCAATCGAATATTTTAAGTGAAAACTTATTATCGCTAAAAGGAGTCAAACAAGATAATAAATTTGCAAAATATGCGAAAATACGGATTGTCGAAAAAATCTGAAACCAAATAAAAATAGTTACATAGGTAGTAGTGTGCAAATGTTGTATATCTCAGTGTCCAACATATCCAAAAGTTTCTATACACGAAACATTACGTCCAAAATTAGTATTATGAGTAAATGTCTCGAAAATACATCTATCAGACAAATGTTTAGGGCACCGCCTTCTAATATAACAGGTTCGTCATAAGCCTAGTAAGTGGGCAGCAATACTAGAGAACACAGAGCGAACAGAATCACGTGTATTTTATAAACCACAGTCAGTGAACAATGTATATTTATACCAGTAAGTTGACATTGTGATCTAAACAGACTGTTGTATCATCAGTAATTGACAATCAACAACTTAAATGAGAAATATAAATAGTAGGAAACATTGTTCCAGTCTTATTATACCATCTCTACATAGTAAGGGAACTGTGTCCAAAAGTTATTCTGAAGTAATACTGATGCGAAGTATTTAGAATCCTTCATAAAATATTTGATTGTCAGGTGATTTAATTTTTCTTTCTGCTATATTTTACATTCTTATTTCATGCCAGCTGGAATTCGTCTTTCCTTATTTTGTCACGTAGTTTCTATTTCTGTTTATAATTTAATATGTCACTTTGTGTTAATCTGTCAGTGTGGCCAAAAATTCTAACAAATTTAGAAAAAAATGTAGAAAAACCTATTCTCTAAAGTAACTTTTTAAAGTTTACGAGTTCGATCAACGCTGAGGGACTAAATAAGTGACATTGGTTACTACTCAATTATCAGTCATTTGTAAAAATCCCAGTCCGACTGTAGGTTAGTCAGGAACTGGATGGCTTTTTGGTGATGTTTTGAACTGTGAAGCTGGGTTGCGAGGGATCGGATCCTAGGGGGGAGCGTTACTTCCTTCAAGACTGTAGATACATGCTACTGAAGAGTTCCATATAACACGTGACCTAGGTCAACTAGGTTTTTCTGCCAAATACCATCCAACTACCCAAAAAATTATGAGATGTCGAACATTTACGTTTCTACTCTTTGGGATATTACAATTATTTCTTGAGTTCTAAGAACCAGTTTATCACTATATATATATGGGAAACACCTTAATGTTATCATTAGGACGCAAGTATTTTTAAGCATGGTCAGATAGAGGCTATCAGTGGAATCGAGTCGTTTCGTCTTGTTTGAGACTCATCAGTTGGAAACACCTGAATCCTAGAGTTGACGATCACGCTGGGATTCTTGAACGTTTTATATCATTCGATACTTATGTTATAATTCACTGTCTGATGACACATAAGGTCTTTATTAGTGTGGTGCTAAACTGCACTCGGGTAGATCAGATAGACGTGCGCATTCATTGTATTTCTGAGTATTAAGTAATCACCGCGTTTAAAACATGCATTTGTATTTCCTGATAAGGATAATGCTTATGCTTGGAAACTATGTTATTAATTGTACTTTTGGATCATTAGTAGTGTTGGTACAACTAAGTAGAAGTGTCACAAGTTTTAAAACTTCCATCAGGTATATTCTACGATAAGGTGTTTGAAAAAGTATTGATAAATGGTATCAATAAAATATCTATATGGACGAATATATTTTCTGTTTTTTTTTAGAAGCGTATTTATATTTAATGGAAACTTGACTGATATGATAGCTTTTAACTTATAAGAAAGTGAACAATCTGTAAAAAATACTTTGCAATATTATATTGTTTTATTATGTGGTCCGCTGTACGATGATTCCAAGTTGAATACAAATTAATCCTCGAAATAAATAATTAACAATCGATAAAGATCAACAGAAATTTTCGATAAAAGGTATGGGACTACAAAAAACACTGAAGGGTGATTGATAAAATATGGCCTTTTAGAAGGTGACGTCAATTATGAATCTTGTAAGGGTTATAAGTTCTTGATAGGTTAAGTCCTATGTAAATTGGTGGGATACATAAATGTAGTGCCTGAAGTTATTCTTTTAATTTAGTCCCAATGAAATAAACACTAATTATGCAAGTGACTTATCGGAAGCTTGACATCATTCGAAACATTGTTATAAATTTGTTTGATTGTTGATCCATATCCATCTAAGTGTACACTCAGACTTGGTAATACGTCTACAAGTTACACCACCAATTTCAACGAACTCAACTCTACCGAAATCGTCCTCCTGAACCACAACTCTTCGTCATCTCGGTTACATTTTTAAGATGTAGTAGGTAGTTGAAGATTCATTCTTCATATTCCTACTAGTATTTATATCAATGTCATTATTGTTGTAGTTGAAATATGGTTTATATAATTTACCATTTTAGCTAGATTGCGTTTCTTAATGTCGTACACACTACAAAACACAATGTTCGACTATTTATAAAAATGCATCTGTCGTTATCGGAGGTTTTGCGCTATAGAAGTTTCAGTAAATCAACTAAATATCCCGTTTGTTCAAATACTTATTATTGTAGTGAGAAATGGTCATTCAGTAAACTGACTTTTAGAAAATCTTGAAGTGTTTGAATAAATTTTGTTTTCTTAATACTATAAAAGTGTAGTTTCTCGGCTTTTTTTAGAAACTTAAGTCATACATCCGTTTTTAGCACGGATCAAGTAGATTGGTTTTATACGTGCTCCAAAATTCACTGTCATTTCAACACACTGATATCAGTATTCTTGGCTATAGACCTGCTGTGTCAAATACCGTAAGTGGTCTAAAATTACTCGAATACGATTTACGAATAAGTGAGATCATTTCGTAATTCTACACTTTATTAAGCGATGATTGAACTGTGACAATCATGGTATTGATATAATTGTCACTTGGATTTATTTCGCTTGTTATTCTTTCTTTTAACACTTTCTAATGTATAACATGTATTTGCTTTATGACAAAACATTAGAAGTCCTGTTTTTCCCCTTTTAAATATCATCCTTAAACCAATTTTCTAAATTTGTCTAATTCACATTTCAAAACTTTGAGAACTTTAGCAGTAAAGCGGAGGATTAGGCTTACCTCACATTTGACTGTTCATGTTTTCCTGAATGTCAAATTTTCACTCAAATTTTTGATCAGGAAACCTTATTACAGCATCTTATTTCAAATTGAATTATTCTGCTTTATAGTTACCACTCAATTAAAATTGCATGAGTTTTACCTTTTATCATTCGTTTGTAATTAACTCGAATTGGAAAAAGATGAATTTTTATGTATGGTTTCTCAGCTTATACTTACTGCTTTCTCTTTTCTGTTGCCTTCTAGAAATTGTATATATTTCTTTTAATTAACATCGAATATTTTAGTTATCGCAAACACAGTTCATAAATGGTCAGTAAGTAACAAGACATTTTCTATATACATTCTAGTAAAACATTTACACAACATCCGATTATCAGTCAACCTCTTAAATATTCAACCTGAATAACTAATCTGACTATTTTTCCTTGACGTCAAACATTTGTTGATAAATATGTTTACAAAATATATGAAGT